TTTAGAGCAAATTGTTACCGGAGATGAAAAATGGGTGCTGTATGTTAATTTGAAAAGGCGGCCTCAATGGTTGGACAAAAATGAGGCTCCGCAGCCCACGCCAAAACCTGACTTGCATGCGAAAAAAGTGATGTTGTGTGTTTGGTAGAATTTTAAAGGAATTCTTCATTATGAACTTTTACCATCTAACCAAACCATTACAAGTGCAGTGTATAGTGCCCAATTGGAAAGGTTAGCCCAAGCTTTAAGAGAAAAAGAACCCGCGCTGATTAATCGGAAGGGCGTAATTCTTCACCACGATAACGCACGACTGCATACTGCAAGAATCACTGCTGAAAAACTGCGCCAGTTGGAATGGGAAGTTCTCCCTCAACCTGCATATTCTCCTGATATTGCCCCTTCCGATTACCATTTGTTTCGTTCTTTGCAAAACTTTCTTCTTGGAAAAAAATTTAATAATGAAGAATGCCTCAAAAATGCATTGACCGAATTTTTTGCATCAAAATCACAAGAATTTTACAACAGAGGGATTAAAATGCTTCCTGAGCGTTGGCACAAGTAGTAGAAAACAACGGCAACTATCTTGTTGATTAAATTTTGTTGTATTGTTTAAATAAATTCGATTTAAAACAGTATTAGAAAACGACATTAATTATTATTAGACCTAACATAGATAGGTCTAGTAATAATTAGGTCTAGTAATAGATAACTAACTTGCTCAATTTCACTTCTGTAATGCTTTGTGCAAACAGCAGGGTTAAAGTTAAGGTTAAAAATTGCAGTTTTTACCTGAGATGATTGCTACCATACTTCCCTGGTGGGAATGAGACGGTACAGCCACTGTGGAAAGCAGCCTGGCGATTCCTCAAAAAGCTAATAGAGCGACCACCCGACCCAGTGATCCTTTCCCAGCTCCATGCCCCAGAAACTCGAAACCATGCATTCGCAAAGACATATGCGCCTTATGTCATCGCAGCCTTGCTCATGGCGGCCAGAACACGGAAACAGCCCAGGTGCCCTGCGACAGGACTGATTCGAGAGGACTGTTCACACACAGCGGATACTGCTCAGCCAAGAAAGAATGAAATGGCGTCATCACAGCAGCATGGGTGGACCATGCGAATACTGTGCTGAGTGAAAGGAGTCAGACGGAAAGAGCTAAGGACCACCTGATGTCACTCGTGTGTGGGGTATGAATCTGAAAGCCATGAACACAAACAGACTGAGGTGGTTGTGAGAGTGAGGGGGTGGGGCAGAGGGGTCCTAACCTGAGGTGACAGGCGAAGATGTGACTCTGGTGGGCACACGGGGCAACATACAGGTTTTATAACTTAGAAACCCATGAAACCTGTGTGTTCATGTTGGCCAATGTCAGCCAATCAATTTAACAAGTATTAACAAGTTAATAAGCAAAATAAACTGCCCAGTTTGTGGGGCTCTGTTTTGGTGGCCCAGGGACACCCGTGTGGATGTTTAGCATGTAGGTGGGGCAGACATGGGCGTGTCACCATGGAGACGGCATCCTGTGCAGAAGTGCAAGGTGGGGCGTGTGGAATGCAAAAACTGTGTACTTTCCCCGACTGCTGAGGGAGGGAGGCCAGGAAAGGAGGCCCGGGGAGGGAGGCTGAGGGAGGGAGGCTGAGTTCACCGTGGTGTTGTCCAAACCCCCATGTCTGCCCTGCATCTTACCTGAGTGTGTTCATTACTCACCCGGGGACAACCTGCCCCTGATTCTGGACCTCCTGTGGCTGCCGTCCTGAGGCCGCTTTCCTGTGGCTGCCATCCTGTGGCCGCCGTCCTGGGCTGACATCCTGGGCTGCTGTCCTGTTGCCACTTTCCTGTGGCCGCCGTCCTGGGCTGCCATCCCGGGCTGCCGTCCTGGGCTGCCATCCTGTGGCCACTTTCCTGTGGCCGCCGTCCTGTGGCCGCCGTCCTGTGGCCGCCGTCCTGTGGCCGCCGTCCTGGGGCTGCCGTCCTGGGGCTGCCATCCTGTGGCTGCCGTCCTGGGGCTGCCGTCCTGGGGCTGCCGTCCTGGGGCTGCCGTCCTGGGCTGCTGTCCTGGGCTGCCGTCCTGGGGCTGCCGTCCTGGGGCTGCCGTCCTGGGCTGCTGTCCTGGGCTGCCGTCCTGGGGCTGCCGTCCCGGGCTGCCGTCCTGGGCTGCCATTGGTTTCCCCGCCACCTGGCTGCCTCACACATGTTTAAGCACTTACTATAGAAAACATAAAACATTGCCAATTTAGGAAGAATCACCTAATAAACCCTTTGGTGCCAGGCCCGGCTTCAGGGGACCGTGCTGCCCCTCGCAGGCACTGTGCACATGGCAGCGCCTCTTCTCGGCTGCAGGGCTTCGGAGCGGGCGCGCCCTCCCTGCTCTCCGCCAGGCCGGGTGACGGTGAGGATCTTCACTAGCAGGAGCCGTTACCCCAACCACAGACCCACAAAACTTTACGTCTTCTACCCCCGTCTCCCTCCACCGCCCCGCTTGCCCAGGACGAGCTGCTGGGAGTATTGGTTATGGGCCAGAGGCCCTGTCCTCACCCACCCCGCCCCCTTGCTGCTGACTTGTCAGAGAGACCAGATCACTCCTACAAAGACCTGTGTTCAGACCTGCTTCCTCAGCTCGTCCACTCGCTCCCCCGGAGTCTGTGGCCAGACTTCAAGGTCCGATTAGACCCGGTGGCCCAGGCTCAGGCGGTGCTCTCCGCGCTCACCCTGCTGGGCGGCTGGTGCTCTCCCCTCGGAGACTGAGCCTGAGGGCGCTGTGAGCGGTGTCCGTGAGGCCCCCGCCCCCCCACACACACACACCCGGGTTGAGGCCGGGTGCCTGGCCCTGTGGCCTCCTCAGAGGCTAACGTAACGGCTTTCCTCTGTCTGCCTTCATTTCTGTCCTGGCCCTTGAGGACTGGGGGGCAGACCCTACACTCCTGGCCACGTGGTTCCCCTGAGCCAGTTCGCACTGAGTTGGGTCCCATGTCATTTAATCCCTTCCTCCCTGGAGTGAGTCCCAGGAGGGAGAAGCGGGGGAGCCGCTCTGTCACTGCGGCCTCCAACCTGGGGTCCTTGGTCCCGCGTCCTCCTCCCCATCTTCCCAGCATGGCGCCCTCTGAGCTTGAGGACAGAAGGGAGGGCGAGGCAGACCCTTCCTGAGGAGCAGCACGCCTGGTCCTTCCCCAGCCATCCGGCCGTTTTCTGCTCTTAAACCCTAAGACAACCCCTGGAGGGCGCTCGCCGAGTCTCCGGGGCAAGGCCGCAGCCCTGCCCCCTCCTCCATCCCCGCTCCTCAGGACCTGGAGCCGGCCCCTCCGCAGCCTGCGGCTCAGCACCCCCCCCCCCACCCGAGTCACCACTCTCAGGCTCCTTCTTGCCCCGCAAACTCGGGCCCCTCTGCGAACCTGCCCTGGCAGCTTCCTCTCGGGCGGCACAGGGTGGCAGGGGGTAACTCTCTCCTGCGCCTCCTCGCTGTGCTCAGCTGCGGGCCACCAAGTGGGCACGGGCCCTCTGTGGTCCGGCCAGGTCCCCCAGTGGGGCGAGGTGCCCTCTGGCTGGTGCTTCTCCTGGAACCCGGGCCGGCCAGGCCTTGGCATTCTGGAGGAGAGGAGGATGCCGTGGGGAGGGCAGAGGAGGGAGGGCTCCCCCTGAGAGAGCAGCCCCCGAGGCCTCCTACTAAAGCCTGTGTGAGGGGGCCCGGCTGCCCGGAGGTTCGGGGATTGGGAAGCCCTGCGGGTCATTCACCTCTTGTTCTCGGATGACGGGTGACGCCCAAGGCAACGACCAACAGGCGGCCTGGCCCCGCATGGTCCCTGCAGTTCCCTCTCCTGCTCGGGGCTGAGCTGGGGAAGTCTTATCACTGCACTAAGCTGGGGGGCACGGTGGGAGCCCTCCTGCCCCCAGACAAGCACAGGCAGAGAGCAGGCGTCTCCGGGCCTGCCTGGTTTCCCAGGAGCAGCAATGGGGACGGGAGGGGGCAGGGCAATGCGAAGGCAGGAGGGGGTGTGAGCAGACATGCCTGGCTTCCACTCCGGGCTCCATGGACACGGGGACAGGAAGGGGCGGGACCTCCAGGGAGTTGGGGGTGAACGCTGGCACTTAGAGCCTGGGCGAGCCTGCCAGGCAGCCAGCATTCCTGCGCCGCAGCACGGCTCTGCCAGCTTTGAAGCATATTCTGCACTCGCTCCCGCTGGCCTCGCCACCACCCCAGACCCCTGGCCCCGCTCCCACACCAGACCCCCAGCCTTGCCCCCCACCCCAGACGCCCCGCCTCGCCCCCCACACCAGACCCCTGTACCCCAGCAGGGCAGCCCGCCTCCTTCCAGCGCAGAGGGAGCAGCAACCTCGTGGGAGCTGGGCTTGCAGGTAAGCGCTGCTCGCCCGGCCTGCGTCCACAGCGGCTGCCTGCCCTCCCGGGTCCTCTCATCTTCCCGCGCCCTGGCCGTATCCTGCCACCACGCGTTATCGTGTTGTGGATGGGAGCCCACTCCCTTGGCTCCAGAGGGAGGCCTGTCCCTGCCATCAATGCAGGAGCCCCGGGGATGGGCACGAAGCTGTGGTGTGAATGAATGAATGAAGGTGTGAATGAGTGAAGGTGTGAGTAAGTGAAGGTGTGAATGAGTGAAGGAAGGGAGCCACTGAGCAGGACCCCAAGGAGGCAGGAGGGACCCCGGGGGTGGCGGTGCCTTCTCCACAGACAGCCCCACTTTTTTCCCCCAAAGCCCTGTCCTCCCTGACCTCACAGCAGGTCCTGGGGCCGGAGGTGTGGGGGGAAGAGGAGCGGGGGGGAGGTGGAGCGGAGGGGGGTGCTCTGCCATCTACCTCGGGTTTCTGGCAGAGGCGGGCTCAGAGGAGCACTGTCCCCTCCCTCCTCTGGGTCCCTGGCATCTCACTGGCCGCAGAGCAGACTCCCCACCGGTGCCCTCCTCCCACAGGCAGCCGCGCCGGCCCGCAGAGCGAAGCCAGGCCGGTGCCCGGCTCGCTGTGGCGGGTCTGCGTGCCGCCCGGGGAACATGAAGGGGGCGGTAGGGCACACGGTCAGGGGGCCGCTGCACAGGCAGTGGGACCTGGAGAGGACGCACGCCAAGCAGGCCGAGGCCAGGCTCAGCCAGCACCTGCAGAGCCTGGAGCGGGCCCGCCTGTGCCGGCTCAGGCTGCTGGCCTGGGAGCAGCGGCAGCTGCAGAGACAGCTGCAGAGGCTGCAGACAGGTAACCGGGAGGGGCGGGCGGGGGCTGGGCACACGGCTCAGGGCTGGGCCCTCGCAGCTCCTGGAACACCCAGACCCTGACCTCAGGCTGTGGCCAGGACCCCCTACTACCACCCCCCAACCCCCTTCCCTCCTCCATCTTTCAATTCGCTCCTGCACCAACCCTTGTTCCCTACTCTCTCGCTTTGTTCTTCATTCTGCTCTCCCTTCTCACTGGGGTTGAGTGGGTTTCACCTCTCTTCATGCCTGGTCGGTACCACTCACCGCGCGGGGTGAGTGTGAGGGCACCTTAGGGAAGGGGGTCAAACCCGAGCCCCAGGGGTCTGCCGGCTGAGCAGATGGGGGTGAGCTTTCCCACCCCTGCCCGCCGCCCGGCCTCCCAGCGGCCGCCTGCCCGCACAGAGCGAGGCTGGGACACTTCGCCGCCTGCACTGCGTCTGCTGGGCTTTCTCGCTCTTCTTAGCCAAGGGCAGTGTTTCTGTCACTCACACACACACACACACACACACACACACACACACACACCCCAGGCCTCTTCCTGTAGACACACACCCAGATCTCTAGTCCCTCCTCCCACAAGCCTGTCTCCCAGGCACCGCCCTTCCCAGGTTTACCCACTCGAGGCGAAGGGGGCGGGGGGACCTGGTGCCCTAGCGTCCATCATCGGAGGTCCTGCCAGACACCGACGGCTCAGCTCCCCTTCCTCCCGCACGGCCCTGGGTCTGGGCGTCCTGCCCGCAGCCAGGGCTTAGACCTCACCATGCCCCCTGGAGGGGGGGGCAGACCTGCGTGGTCAGGCTGCTCGGTGGGAGGGAGGAGCCCAGCAACACCCAGGCCTTCTCCCCCTGTTCCCCCTGCCTCCCCTTCTGCCCCCCCCCTCCCCCGTGTGTCTGCTCCAATCTCCCCCTGTGAGAGCCGCCAGTCCCATCTGACTGGGGACCCTGGTGTCCTCATGGCGCCCGAGCGCCTCCTGCTGTCGGCCACAGGCTGCCCAGGGGCTGCGAGGGATCAGGGGGGACACAATTCAACCCTAACAGGCATTCGCTTCCTCGCAGCAGCCGGCAGGGGAAAGTGCGCCTCCTCCTCCTCCGGGCACAGTGCTCCGCAGAGACCAGGAGGCGCCCCCGTGCGCCTGCAGCAGGGAGGGGACCTCAGGGCCCCCCGGGCCACCGGGGCCAGGTGAGCCCCTCGCCCCTCACCTCCTTCTGGTCCCTGCCAGGGCCGCTCCCTGAGGAAACGGGCCCCCCTCCCCCTTGTGGCCTGGCTGACACCTCCCATGGGCCATCACATATGGGCACCCACATGGTTTCAGAGAACCTTCCTTCCTCGCCCTCCCAGAGCCCCGGCCACCAACGCAGCCCAGGAAGCACCCAGGGCCTGGCCCCGGGCCTCCTTCCGCCACGACAGCCTCGAGGGCCCCATGGGAAGCCAAGAGCAGTCGCCGCCTCTAAGCCATGTGACCTCCCACCTCACCGGGGAGATGCCACCTGACCAAGCCGTCAGCCCCAGCTCCCCGGCCCCCGGCCCCGAGGCCAGCCCAGCCGGTGACAGTGGCGGGGCCCTCGGCGAGACCAGCCCAGAGGCCACAGGCCCGCAGCCCGGCCTCAGCGCCAGGGAGCACGCGCCCCCAAGGGCCCCCTCCTTCCGCGAGGTGCTGGCCAGGGCTGCCCACGCCCACTACCTGCGGCACCGGGCGCCCCTCGAGGCGGAGCGGCTGCTCAGCCTGCGGGAGATATTTGGGCACGGGGGTCACTCTCCGGCCCTCCCGTCCCCTCAGAGTAACACGTCAGCCCCTGGAGAAACGTGTGCGGCTTTATTTCCGGCCGTCTCCCCTTCCCCCGATCTGCAAGGCCAGTCTAAGAAAAGCGAGGCAGGGGTTTCTGAGAACCGATAAGCAATGCACCGCATCCGTGGCCAAGGTGTCACCAATACGCACCTGCCGGGAGGAGATGGTGCCGTCTGTTCTGGGCTTGCAGTGCCCGCTGCTAGCCCGAGGGCACCGCCCTGGGTGCTGGGCCCGAGGGCTGGACTTGTGGCCTGTGCAGACCGCCTTCTGCTCCAGGCGCCTGCTTTGGTTTTCTGTTCCCCCTCCCATCTGCTCACATCCAACTGGCCACCGAATCGTGAACAGCCGGCAAGCATGTGCTCCCACCAGCATCTCCTTCCCAGCAAAACGGTGGCGCCCGGGCAGCGCAGACACAGAACTCACTGCCGTGCTGGAGGCTGTGGCAGGACAGAGGCTGCGTCACACGCCAGCCCTCGCCACCTGTGCCGCTGTCTCCTTGAACCGAGTGCCCCATTGAGCCTGGGTGTTTCTCCTGCAGCCACAGCCGGAGGCCAGGGGACGCGCATGGCGCTGCTGGGCCTGAGGACACCTGTCATTGTCCCCCGTCTGTGGACAGAGACACATGTGCACTCCCTGCATCGAGCTGTCTCCGCACCTGGGCACACAGATCCGCCTCAGTCCATCCGTGTGTCCAGACATGTCACGTGGTGCATTCATCTTGTGCCTGACCTGTAGCGTCTAGCCATGACATCCCACCGTTTCTAATAAAAACTTCATCACCGTTCCAGAAAACGCCTCCTTCCTTCCCTCACTCACATTATTGCGCTCAACGCTCACGCTCCCATGGGCAGAGGAAGCAGACAGCCCGCCCCCTGCCCTCAGGGCCCACCTCACCTCCTCCACAGGGAGGGCCCGCCTCATTTTTGCCTGCAGAAGGCTTAGCTTTATTGAAAATATCTTTAGCAATAAAATTAGAGATTAGAACAAAAATTTCATACTTCAAAATGTATGGAAATTATATTTATCTATAATTTTTCTCTGTTACTGACTCATCCGAAACTTCACTCACTTGACTGTGTCCCAGGTATCCTATCTAATAAAAGAGTAATATGTAAATTGACCGTCACTCCAAGACACATGATGGCTGCCCCCATGTGGACACAAGATGGTAGCCACAAGATTGCCTGCAGGTAGGGCAGTTGTGGGCAGTTGGGGGAGACTAGGCCAGCAAGGGAGGGCAATTGCAGGGGACCCAGGACTGCAGGGGAGGGCAGTTGTGGGCAATCAGGCAAGTAAGGAGGGCAGTTAGGGATGACCAGGCTGGTAGAGGAGGGTAGTTGGGGGAGACCAGGCCAGAGAGGAGTATAGTTAGGGGTGACCAGACTGGCAAAGGAGGGCAGTTAGGAGGTGAACAGATCAGCAGGGGAGGGTAGTTAGGAGCAATCGGGCAGTGGGGAGCAGTTAGGTGTCAATCAGGCTGGCAGGGGAGTGGTTAAATGTGATCAGGCTGACAGGCAGAAGCAGTTAGGGGCAATCAAGCAGAAGCAGGCGAGAGGTTGGGGACTAGTAGTCCTGGATTGTGAGAGGGATGACCAATTGCCTGTTTAGGCCCGATTCTATTGGATTTGGCTTAAACTGGTGGTTAGACATCCCTCAAGGGGTCCCAAATTGGAAAGGTTGCAAGCTGGGCTGAGGGGCACCCCCACCCCACCCCCTGCATGAATTTTGTGCACCAGGCCCCTAGGTAGTTATATTTAGGGTAAAAATGCCTAAGTATTTCAGCACTGTCTTCATGTCATGTAAACAAAGTCTGAACTGCCACAGCCTTCCTCTGACCACTGCCAACAACAGCAACAGCTCAGCTAGAAAATTTTATTGAAACAAATTGTGAGTAAAACATTTTGCCCATGTTTACAACCATTAAAACATGGACATGAAAATGGGCGGATGAGTAACAAACAGATCCGAGTCAGGCACATGGTAACGTGGTAACCTCAATGTCATGACAATGCTTTTAAAACATGGTAAGAAAGCCCGGCGGTGTGGCTCAGTGGTTGAGTGCTGACCTATGAACCAGGAGGTCACTGTTCGATTCCTGGTCAGGACATATGCCCAGGTTGCAGGCTAAGTCCCCAATAGGGGACAGCCAACTGATGATTCTCTCTCATCACGGATGTTTCTACCTTTATCTCCCTCTCCGTTCCTCTATGAAATCAATAAATATATATCTATATATAGTCATCTTTAATTTAAAAAAACTGTAAGAAATAACTTAGGTGGCCCCGCACACTGCGACAGCCACGCGGCACCTGAGGGGAGGCCAGGCAGAGCCCGGCCCGGTAGGAGAGGGGGAGAATTAAGGAAGATGCTCCCAGGACAAGGGGCACAGCTGAGCTTGTCACTCTGAGTGGCCGTGCCTTGCCAGGAGGACCCGTGTGCCCGCGTCGGCTCCTCAAGGCCAGGCCTGGCCCGGAGCCTGGCTGGGGCTCAGCTGGCGGGACAGGAACCCCGACAGGAGGTGGCGGCTGGGGCTCGGGCTGAGCTGGGTGGGCCACCATCCTGGAGAACAGCCAGTGGTTGTCACCTGGAACCTTTTCCATGAGCACACAGTTTGCAGAGAGCGGGGGACGGAAGGGAGACGGAGAGTTCCCTTCACCACAGACGACACTCCCCCGAGCCAGGAGCCCCAGCACGGAGCACAGGGCAGCTCAGCTAGTCGGTGCTCAGGACGGTGGCCCGCAGGCGCCTCTCCAGCTCCACGAGGCGCCGGTAAAACTTCTCAGCAGTATCTTCGTCGAGGTCCATCTGGAAGGGAACGGAAATGGTGACGGGGACGACTCGAACACCTCTGGGAACCGGGAGGCGCTCGCCCGGCAGGGAGGCCTGGAGGCGGGCCAGCAGGGAACGCCGCAGCCTCCCGGGACAGCGGGGCCTACCTTCTCCATCGTCACGTAGTTTCTCCCGAAGCCGGTGGTGGCGCTCAGGTACTTGGTCAGAGGGTTGAGGGACTCGGGCTTCTGGTGGAAGAGCCACACCTGGGGAGAAAGAAGGGGCGCTGGGCTGTCTGGCCGCGGGCGCAGCCGGGGGCACCGGGACCAGAAGTCCTCCCGACCAGCTCGGTGTCACGGCTCCAGGCCCCTGCTGGGACAGAGGGAGGAGGGCAGCTGCTTGGCAGCATGCTTAAGAAAAGCACCTGCAGCGAAGGCCGCTCCTCTTAGTCCCCAAATCCAAGTTCACGGCCGGAGTCGGCTTCTCCGCGTCAGCGCCCACTCGCCAGGGTGACTCGCAGACACAGCTCTCGCTCAGTGACAGACCAGCACGGGCACGCAGCTCGGAAGCCCGCCCCTTCCCGCGGCCGGCGGCCTTCTCTCGTCCCCTCTGGAGGCAAAGCCCACCAGCATCTCCTGTTCACCCGAGACCACGTGTCTCTGGGAGCCGGGCTCTGCTCGCCCTGGCGGAAGCAGGACCCACTGTGCGTCTGCAGACACTGTAACCAGGTAAGCGGTCATGTCCTTCTCGTTCCAAGTAGCCAGCACTCCGCAATCTGTCTCCCGTGGACGGATGTACCGCGGTTGCTGTCACAGCCACATGGTGCTGAGTGACAGGCCGGCGTCGCCGGGAGTCTGCACACACAGAGAAGGTGGACACGGAAGCCGGAATGGCTGTGTTGGCTGGTCCTGCCGGAGCCCATCTATCCCAGCATGCCCGAGCCAGCATCTCGAACACCCTCATCTCCGCCACTGGAGCTGGGAGGAGGTTTCGCGGTGACTTTGGTCTCACTCCTCAGTGTGAGACTGAGCATTGCTTCCTACGAGTAACATGGTTTGAAGTTCCGTGGTGGCCTTTACGCTTGTCCTGAAGGAGCGCTGAGTGAGGGACGGACACACGGAGTGACAAAGTGGGGACTTCGCTCAGACGGCACGAACAGAGGGCGCAGAGAGCACCTGGGCACCCTGACTCGGCAGTAGAGGGCCTTGGGGACATCCTGTGTGTCCGGCGGAAACGATGACCGTGAGCCATGAGCAGCGTCGGCACCGGTTGCCCAACAGTAACAGCTTGACTTGGACATGAGCCGAGGAAGGAGCATCTCCGTCCCAGGAAGTGCCTGGGCTTCACTGCCTCTTCGCTGCCCACAGGCGACCTTCCCCGGGAAGCCCCGCCTGCCGGCCCCACCGCCTCGGACCATCACATACCAGGGCCTCAGCTCCGTTGTACGGCGTCAAGGTGAAAGCGTTTGCAAAGAAGCGGAGCTGACGGAGAGAAAACAGGTGTCACCGAGGTGGTTTAGGTCCCAAAGCAGCCCTCTCCACACATGTTAAGGACAGCCTGCTCCTGGTCCCTGAGCGCAAACTAAGCCCAAAAATGAGGAAGTCACGTCCTCCCAGCCTGCCAGCCAGCCCCTTGGAGGGGAGGTACTCCTCCTGTCTCTCCGCCCTGGCGCCGGAGGGTGTGTTTCCCAAGCTCCCCGTGGAAGGACAGCTCCTAAAGGAGCATTTCCATGGCTGAAGGCACGTCTGTGAGAAACTCAGAACACAAACCAAAAGAGCTGACCTGCGGCTCTGCAGCCGTGAGCGCACACGCGGCCTCCTGGGAGCTGTGTGCACGGGAAGCCGGGAACTACCACGCAGCCGGGTTCCCACAGGTCGGCCCTCGGCCTCCCGGGCCCACGCAGCACGCTCGGGGCGCTCCCTCCCAGAGAAGGGCGGCAGCGTGGGGGTCAGCTGGTGGGAAGCAGAGGCTACTGGCCATGGCCTTCAATTCGCCAGGGACTGAGATTCTGCTGCCTCCCGATTCAATTTCTGAACTCACTTCCCAATCCTCAAACACACCCTTTATCCCAAGTCGAACACTGGCATCCACAGAGAAAGGAAGTGGTGGGCGGGCACACTCACCAGCCATATGATTGGCATCAACAGTGTCCACACGAAGCGGGGCAGGATTCCGTAGGTCAGGTTGGTCAGCATGGTCCCCGGGCACGCCACACTGGAGAACAGGCCCTGGGGGCGCAGGGACGGGACAGGGCTGAGCTTGGGGTGCTGCCTCAGACCAGGACATGACGGCCAATCGAGGGCACGCACCCCCGCCAGGACAGGCAGTAAAGGCTTCTGCTCTGAGTGGTCCTGGACGCTGGGGACCTGTCAGTGGAAGCTTGGGCTGAGGGACTCGGTGGGACGTACACAGGTGCAGAAAATGAGTGACAAAGAGCAGCCAGGCCCGAAGCTGGAGAAAATGGGCCCAGCACTGAGTCCCCATGTGGTTGGGTCAGGGGCAGGTCAGCTTATCAACCCCAAAATCACTGGAGACAGAAGGACACCCAGGACAGTCTCTGCCTCTGGGATAGACACGAACTGCCCTGTGTGTCTGCCTCCCAGCAGGTGCACAGACTCAGACTCCAGCTTCGGGAGCGGGAGAGGGGGAGCGGGGGAGAGGGGGGGGGGGGATTGGTCCTGGGGGCAGAGCACAGGACCTCCTGCCATTGCAGGCCTCCAGGCCTCCTCCAGGACTCCCATTCTATTATAGAAAGCTGTCTTGTTGGGCCCGATAACACAACTCATGGACCAGAAGGGGGCGCTGTGCAGTCTGTCCCGGCAGAACTGGGACTTGCTTTACTAGTGAATCCTTTAATTTTTACTACATTGACCTTCTTTGATATTGACCATTTCAGCTCATATTTTTATTACTTTTCATCTTATTTTTTACACGGAACGCTGCAAGTTCCAGTGTAACAGGCGGCCGCGGGGCAGAAAGCACCTGGGAAGTTTCTGTTTTGTCCGAGGCGGTGAGGCTCCGGGACGCACACTGGTCACCCACCAGCCGCAGGGTCCCCGCATTTGCCAGCCTCACAGACCAATAGCTCCTCCCAAGAAAGTCAGTTCCCCCGAGACAGCACGGGAATCTGCTCTGGGAACAGTCAGGGGCTCGCAGCCCTAAGCGAAGATGTCTGTGAACTAGACCTTGATGCTGAGTAACAGCAGAAACACGCAGGGAGGGGCTCTGCCACGACCCCACCCTCGGGAACCACGGACCGCGGCCCGGTGCTCTGGACACTGGGGATGTCACCACGGACGGCAGCTCGGCGGGAGCCTGGGGGCCCAGCACACTACCACTCCAGCCCAGCACACCATCACTCTTTTGCTGCTTCTCTGAGCAAAAGCCAAGGCCATGAGCCGCAGCACAGACCAGGCGGCAGCAGCCTCAACTACGTCTCCCTTCTTTTTATCCTTATCCAAGGATGTGTTTACTGACTTCAGAGAGACGGAGGGAGAGGGGGAGGGGGAGAGGAACATCGATGTGAGAGAGGAACATTGACCAGTTGCCTCCTACATGCACCCTGACCGGGGATCAAACACACATCCTAAGTACATGTCCTGACTTGGAATTGAACCAGGACAGGACAAAGCACCAACCCACTGAGCCACACTGTCCAGAGCAATCCTTACTGTGGGGGTGGGGGACGTCTGGCACTGGGGCCGAAGGAGCCCGCAAGATCATTGGGTCTGGCCGTGCCAAGGCAGGACTGGGAATTCAGTCACTCTAGGAGCATTTCTCACAGTAACGTCCATTCATGTTAAGGGAGCGACAGGAAGTGAGTGATGTTACAAACACCAGGTGGCCGGGCAGAAAAGGCCTTACTTGCTTGACAACCAGACCTCACTAGCACAGTGCTGTCCGTGGACAGACCAGCCTGCCACACCAACCTGGCCCTAGGGGTCAGGGGACCAGCAGTTGAGACAAGCTGTCATCTGGAGAAGCCAGAGGCTCTCCATTGGACCAGCACGCTGGGCTCCAACTGTAACACAGTGACAAGAACAACAACCCACAACGCATGAGCACACACACACACAGACCTGTGTGCACACACCAGCACATCCTGTGCACATGCTCCTCTTTCTAAAACATAAAAAAATGAAAGTGAGTGAAAAAATCTCCACTGTGAGGATCACACCACCAACAAAAGCAGCTCCCCTCGGGCACATAGTTTCACGGTCCTCTCGTAATGTCTCCCTCCTCTTCCGCCCCAGGCCTGCCCGGTGCCCTAAACACAGAAGACTGTTGTAAATATTAGAATTAAATTGCTCCAAGCCTCACCTCCACCCACAGAAAAAGCCACAGGAAAAGCCATGGGAACGACAGGAGGTGCTGACGTCTGAGGCATACAAGGACGCAGCACACCCAGACCCCGAGGCTCAGGAACTGCGGGGCTGACAGGGAGTCCTCCAAAGAAACTCCTCTCCACGGGCCACCTCGCCGCCGGGACACCAATACGAACACGGGGCGTGGGTGGCTTGGGGGAACCCAGGCCACAGAGTCAGACGGCCTGGGGCCACCCTGAGCTGCACCCCCTAGTTCCTCACTTAACCTCTCCGCGTCCTCCCGGGAAGGGGGCGCTGAGACCTGCTCCCGGGCGGGGAAGGCGGGATGGACACGGGTAAAGCGAGCACCTAAAGCCCGCGGCGGCTCGGCCGGGAATCGCAGCCGAAGAAGTGCAGGATGGCGCACCCACTCCGCTGCCCCGGAAATCAGGACCCGTTATTTCTGCCCTAGAATGTTCCTAACACCCGCCATCGGTCCCATTCAGGTGCCACCCTTCCTCAGGGCCATCCTGCTGAGGAAACACCGCTGCCCCTCTCCGCGGCCACGGAGAACAGCGAGCGCGGCCCGGGATCAGCGCCCTCAGGCCCCGCCCGTCCCGGAGCCCGCCTCACCCGCTGGTTGAAGTTCCTGTTCAAGGCCACGCTCAGGAGGTCCAGCGCGTACTTGGAGGAGCTGTAGGGCTCGCGGCCCCGGCTGTGCTGGAAGTCCTCCAGGCTGAAGTTGGCCCTCCGGGCGCTGCGGGACGACGTCCAGATGAGCCGGGACGGGCTGTCACCGCGGCCGAGGAGGGGGGCCAGCTCCCGGAACTGAGTGAGGAAAAGGAATGAAATGAGAGACAAGATCTACGGGGAGGACGGTGACAGTCAGGAAGCACTGTACTGTCTGCTGCAAAGGGGCAGGTTGTCCCTGGAGGTGAGCAGGGAGGGGCCAGAATGCCTGTGTGGTGCTGCACGGGGGTGAACACAACAGCATGGACTCGTGTTCAGTCTCAAGATGCGGATGGTTACATGAGGAAACATACAGCCGTGTGCACACCCCTGGGTTGGCACACACATGCGCATCCCCTTGCTGCCAGCAGAGGGCCCAGAAGCACCTGCTGCCTCAACAAGCACTGGGTTTTGGTGTCTAACACCCTCTAATAAAAGGAGACAGCTCTCCTCAGAGGAACAGTCTGTTCTAGGTCTCGGGCAGGGAACACACAGTGACCTTGAAGATTCTTACAGTGTCAGCAAGGCCGTGCTCAAACAGAAGCAAAGCCATCGTGACGCGGGCACACCCAAGATGGACCCTCCGGAAACACCTGAGCAGAAACTAACGCCGAGTTTACAACTCGGGCAGCAAGCACGCACTGTGCCCACGTGGGCATCTGTCATCACCAACACCTTACTAAGCAAGGACACCAAAGGAAAAAGATACAGATATCAGATAATGACTTTGTGAAGTTATTTTTAAAATGACCAGGTAGGCTGGGACCGGTTTGGCTCAATGGATAGAGCGTCGGCCTGCGGACTGAAAGATTCCGGGTTCAATTCCGGTCTAGGGCATGTACCTTGGTTGCGGGCACATCCCCAGTAGGGGGTGTGCAAGAGGCAGCTGATCGATGATTCTTTCTCATCGATGTTTCTAACTCTCTATCCCTCTCTCTTCCTCTCTGTGAAAAATCAGTGAAATATATATTTAAAATGACCAGGTAGGAATTCAACCCATCCTGACTTTATATTTTTCATTTTTGATTGAACACTAGTACCATATAAAAAATAATACAAAAGGATGTAGAATGAACCTCCCACTTGTTCCCAGGGCCCTGGCAGCCAGTGTTTCCAATTTATGTAATTCCCTAAATATTGTATATGTGCATGCACTTTGTGAAGGCGTAGCTTTACGCTGTTTCCCGCAAGAATCAAATCCTGGAGGCTACCCCTCATCAATGCACAACGGTCTTCATGTCTTTTCACGGTTTCATATACTCAGTGTTTGTACGCGACTCCGTTTGTTATAAAACATAGGCTAGTCCTCCAGGAGGGGCCCACTTTTCAGGGAAAACAGGCTCAACGTGCAGAAGAGTGACCGTGAACTTGGCATCAGAGAAGCAGGTTGCACAGGCAAAGCGAGCGGAGGAGGACCTACACGGAGCAATGGTGAGCCACCGACACAGCTGGCGTGAGCGTCAGATGCTAATGTCACCCGGAGCTTAGCCAGAGGCCGAGTGTGGAGCAAGCTGGACAGGCAGCTGTGCCGGACACAGCGCAAGTGCGGGGCTCGAGAAGTGGCGACAAAGATCAGCTATGAGTCACGTTCAGTAACGGCTTGCCTGCTCGCCTCCTCTCTGAGGCCGGCCGCTCTAAGACCACCGAGCATTCTCTCTGACGGCCTCTGTGTGTCCCTTTCTGCTTTCCCTCCGCTCTCCCGAGCTGGTGCAAAATGAAAACTAATCTCTCAAGAGGCTGCTGCAGGGACCAGTTTCCAGAAATACGCAGAGCAGAGGCCAGCCCACGCCACTGCGCTCCACAGAGCAGAGCTATGCGCCCAGCCTTCGGGACCCGGTGCTAAGTGAGGCCTGATGACATTTACCAGGATAAAGTGTCCAAAGACATTGGTGGCAAAGACCTCCTGGAGCCCGTGAGCAGTGACCCTGTCGTCCTGGGTCAGCAGTCCCTCTGCGGTGGAGAACACCTGGATCACCTTTCTGAAACAGCAAAGAGAAGTGCATGACTTTCCAAAGCGCCTGCCACCGCCACTGAGGGCAGCTCCCAGAGCCCTCCGGCCCTACCTCCAGGTCTCTGGTTCTGTAACGCAGGAATGAGAACACTTGTTTCACAGACTGGGGGCTGTGCTAAATACAATGCAAGCCAGGACCAGTTTGGCTCAATGGATAGAGTGTTGGCTTGGGGACTGAAGGTTCCCGGGTTCGATTCCGGTCAAGGGCATGTACCATGGTTGCGAGCATATCCCCAGTAGGGGGTGTGCAAGAGGCAGCTGATCGATGACTCTCTCTCATCGATGTTTCTAACTCCCTATCTCTTTCCCTTCCTCTCTGTATAAAAACAATAAAATATATTAAAAAAAAAAAAAATACAATGCAAGATGGCCGAAACCGGTGTGGCTCAGTGGATAGAGCGTCCGTCTGCAGACTGAAAGGTCCCAGGTTCGATTCTGGTCAAGGGCATGATCATTGGTTGCGGGCACATCCCGGGTAGGGGGTGTGCAGGAGACAGCTGGTCAATGTTTCTCTCTCATCCATGTTTCTAGCTCTCTATCCTTCTCCCTTCCTCTGTAAAAAAAACAATAAAATATATACATTTTTAAAAAATACAATGCAAGATACCTCCTTTCCTGAGTGCTCACATGCCACAGCATCCGAGCCTCTAAAACCCTCGTCACCTCTTTTTTTTTTTCTTTAATATATAATATTTTATTGATTTTTCACAGAGAGAAAGAGAGAGGGATAGAGAGCTAGAAACATCAATGAGAGAGAATCATCGATCAGCTGCCTCTTGCACACTCCCTACTGGGGATGTGCCCGAAACCAAGATACATGCCCTTGACCGGAATCGAACCCGGGACCTTTCAATCCGCAGGCCAACGCTCTATCCACTGAGCCAAACCGGTTCCAGCCCTTGTCACCTCTTTCTAAACCAGATCACAGGTCACAGGGACAATGGCGGGGCCAATGCTGAGAGGGGTCCCTGCACACAACTTGGGGAAATGCCCACACAGCCAGGCACTGGTGCTCACTGGCCATTCTTAGAGCACCGAGCACCCTACCACAGCGTCTGCCGCAAGACCGTGTATTGGGTCAAGGCCCATGTGGGACTGAGTGTGTGTGTGTTCAATGGACGAGAGTAAAACAAGTCTAGAAAGAACCTCTATGAATTAGCACATGAGGTCACAGATAAGACTGCTTCCTTCCCGCAGGGTGGAGTCAAACATTTTTGAGAGCCACGGCACTGTCCTGAGACTCTGCAGGGAGACAGCGAGTTCTGAGCGCTTCCCCGGCTGCTGGTCGGAGCCCTGGCCCGAGCTGCCCCTCCCTCTCCTGAAGGGCTCCCCGCAGACCTCTCAGACCACAGCACGGAATCGGGACACACGGCTGCCCAGAGACCAGTGCTTTTCTTCCTCCTGTCGTCATTCTTCTCAACCCCCTCCTGCCACCCAACTTAGCACGCGCAGGGCAACGCTGGGCCGAAGCAAGCACCTCCCTGACGGTGGGCCGGAAACGGCATTACCTGGAGAAGAGACTGGAGAGCAGCGCGCGGAGGTTGAGGTGCGGGCTGGGCATGATGCCAGCGTTCAGGTACACGTAGTCTAGCCTCTGGAACCTGCCACAGACCCAAGACACAGGGTCAGTCCCGTGAGCGCTCTTTTTCTGATGTCGGCTCCCAACACGATTTGGGAGCGACAGGGGGCTGTGAAGTCAAACCTCTCTGATCAATAATTTTTAGCTTCATCCCTCAACTAGGCCCTGCAGCTACCCTGTCCATCACACACCCCTCCTTTGGTCTGGGGAAGTTTGGGGCTTTATTTATTTTCTTAGATTCACATCCTCCCTAGTTGACAAGTAAAATTATATATTCACCTTATGTTATATTCACCTGATCTGCTCTGTCCGGACACAGTCATACTCCCGAATTTGCATCACGACAACCATCTAGTCTGGGCAACCCCACACTCCTCTGAGCGCTGCTCTGAGAATTCAATGAGGACAGCAGAGCTGCACCCCAAGCTGTGGGCGGCTGGCTGACCGCTCACCGAGTACCTTAGGGCTCCCTTCTCTCCCATGGCCGCCCTGCCGTAAGTCTGGGCTAACTCACTAAATGTCTTACTTGATACGAAATGACTAATCTGCGGTAACTACATGTGCTCCCTGAAGAGCCAGGAGGAGAGCCGACTCCAGGACCCAGGGGGAAGAGTCCTAGGGCTCTGGGGCACTGTCTGCGTCTCTTTGGTCAGTGCCTGCTGACCTATTTAGCACCCAGTGGGCGAAGATGCAGAGAATGCTCTCCGGTGTCACAGGCGCTCACTCCCGAAGGCACCGCGCCTGCGCCTGCCGCAGGCCAGGGCACCCTCCTGGGTTACTCCTCATGAAATAAGCATGATCTCGGGGGCTGAGGGGCAGGACTTCCGTATGACACCGCAGGCCCTTTCTCTGGTGTCAGCTGCTGGGTGCACAGCCACAGGGAGAAAGCCGCCTCCGGAGGCTCACCTGCGCCTGAGCTCCCTGGCGGCCCGCAGCACGGAGCGCAGGTCGGAGACGTCCACCTGCACGGTGCTCACCTGCGCGGAGGGCCGGGCGGCCAGCAGCGCGGCTTGCGCGGCCTCGGCCCGGCCCCGGTTCCGGCACGCCAAGCACAGGTGCAGCGCGGCGTCCTCCGCCAGCAGCCGCTGGCACAGCGCGAGGCCCACGCCGCTGTCCGGACAGAAACGGGATAAGCACACGGTGCCAGCCCGGCAGCAGGAAGAGGGGGCGCGGGCGGGCAGGGAAGAGGGGGCGCGGGCGGGCAGGAAAGAGGGGGCGCGGGCGGGCAGGAAAGAGGGGGCGCGGGCGGACAGGAAAGAGGGGGCGCGGGCGGGCAGGGAAGAGGGGGCGCGGGCGGGCAGGGAAGAGGGGGCGCGGGCGGGCAGGGAAGAGGGGGCGCGGGCGGGCAGGAAGAGGGGGCGCGGGCGGACAGGAAGAGGGGGCGCGGGCGGGCAGGAAGAGGGGGCGCGGGCGGACAGGAAGAGGGGGCGCGGGCGGGCAGGAAGAGGGGGCGCGGGCACGCGGCGGGCCGGCGCTGGGCCTCACCTGCTGGCCCCGGTGACCAGGACTACCTTCCTCATCTCGGCGCACGCAAGCCCCGCAGCCCACTGAGCCGCTCACCCAGCCCGCCGGCCCCGCCTCCCACGCCCGCCGCCCAATCAGAACCCGGCGACACAGACACGCCACGCCCAATCCACGTCCTCCAATCAGGTCCCAGGCCCGGCGATGCCCCGCCTCCCTTGACGTCACAGGCTTCGCTCTGGGCCCTCCAATCGCAGCCCTCCGGGTGCCCTCTGCCGCGGACCCGAGGTGGGGTGAGATAGGCCGAGGGGCGGGGCCACAGCCCCCAGCCAATCCGCGCTCTCCGCCTCGCAGATGACCCCCCAACCTCCAGCCCTCCACCCCTCCCGCGAGCCGTCCGCCCGGTAACGGCCGCCCCGGGGTGCTCCGGCCCGCGGCGCTCGCCCGCGGCTCTGGCCCGCGCGGGGGCGTGGGCAGCAGGTCCTCCTGTTACAGGGAAGCTGGGGTCTGGCAGCTGAAGTGGGGACTGCCCATCTTTACCTGAGGACCCAGGCAAAGTGCCCCGGACCGCCACCTCTGCCCACACCGCTCCTCTGAAGTCGTCTTCCGGAGTGGGTTTTGTGGGGAACTGTGTGTAGAAACTGCAAGATCTGCCGGTTCCCAAAACTGGGCTGCGGTGGTCCTGGGACGTCACGGGCAGACCGGGCGCTCTGTGGCCTCTGGCTGCTCTGAGTTACACGCAGTCCCTCACCTCCCCTGGCCGTCCACCCCTCACCTCCCCTGGCCGTCCACCCGTCATCTCCCCTGGCCGTCCACCCCTCACCTCCCCTGGCCGTCCACCCGTCATCTCCCCTGGCCGTCCACCCCTCACCTCCCCTGGCCGTCCACCCCTCACCTCCTTTGGCCGTCCACCCACCATCTCCCCTGGCCGTCCACCCCTCACCTCCTTTGGCCGTCCACCCCTCACCTCCCCTGGCCGTCCATCCCTCATCCCCCCTGGCCGTCCATCCCTCATCCCCCCTGGCCGTCCACCCCTCATCCCCCCTGGCCGTCCATCCCTCATCCCCCCTGGCCGTCCATCCCTCATCCCCCCTGGCCGTCCATCCCTCACCTCCCCTGGCTGTCTACCCCTCACTTCCCCTGGCTGTCCATCACTCATCTCCCCTGGCCATCCATCCCTCACCTCCCTGGCCGTCCATAAATCATCCCCCCTGGCCGTCCATCCCTCATTTCCTGTGGCCAGTACTCGGATGAACACATTCTCTGGGCAGGCAGGAAGCACACTGTTTGGGTGGTTTCATTCTAATCTCTGCTACAACCGGAGTCAGCATTCCTGTTACTCACAGCTTTTGTTGCTCTTTGTAGGGAGTAGCCCAGCCAAACCATGTTTGGATTTTGGAGGGACTTCTGTGTATCAAGCAAGCAATTTTGTGACAATAAAGGATCGCCAGTAATTTCGGACTGGATCTCTGCCAGCCAGACCATCTGATGGCACAGAACTCCAGTCTCTGGTGGGTTTGGACATGCCAGAGGCCAAGATGCTTCTCTTCCAACGAAGTCCGCTCGTCTGAGAAGCCTGGGTCAGCAACCCCATGCTGAGCCTGCCCCACAAATGGGCCTACCCCACCCGGCGCCCCATGCTTCTCCAAAAAGGACGCAAGGCCCAAGCGGGAAGAATGATAAGGCTCAAGCCCATCAGTAGCATGTTTCTTTAATCGTTGTTATTTACAATTTATCATTATCAGACTTACAGAGAATAAATAAAGAAGAAAATATACAATTGGTATCTTGTTCTTTTTCTAATACAGAGAGTTCTTCATGCTCTATTTTGGAATGACTACAAGAGTTTTAAGCACAAATTAAGTCAGTTTTCTTTTTACCCCTGGACAAGGCCCATGGCCTCCCAAGTTCTCACAGGAAGCTGCTCTGGTCCCGCAGCAAAGCCACCGGAAGGGATGGGTGGTGCGGACTGTGACGGGTGGAAGTGAGCAGCTGGGCTGCCGGCAAACTTGGTGTTTGTGGGAATGCTCACACCTTTTGTTACTTCCAAGCCTCTTTAAGAAAACAGGTTTCCACTCCGAGTAAAAACTCAAAACCTCTGCAAATCCTCCCTGCACTGGTGCCTGCGGGTCCTGACTGCCTGCAAGCTTGGAGGAACTCGGGACTGACTCAGCCTGCTCCTTTAGACATGATGTCTGCAAAACCTGTTTCAAAAGGGCTGAATGTGGGCCAGAGTCTGGTGCCTGCTCTGGAGGGGGTGCCTTACACAGAACGGCCTTGAAATGCGGTCTACAGGCCTGGAGGAGGAAGGTAGACCCAGGAAGTACACAGGTGGAGGCTGTTCTCCGCCAGGTAAGGTCTGGCCCTTTCTACTCTCTCCCCAATTAAAACCAACCCTCTCTAGCACAGCAGAGCACCGTCTCCCTAACTCACCAGGCATGCAGTTTGACAAGTGCCTGTTTCTATATTCGATTCATTCAAAAACAACACTCAACGCATGTACGGGGTGCCCGGCAGGTGAGTCTGGGCCAGGAGCTGTACAGGATGTGGGACGCAGTGGAAAACAAGGTACAATCTTGTGAGTCCCAAACAGGGCACTAAGACACTGCCACAAACCTCACAGCTGGGAGCCACAGAGCTGGAGCCTCAATACCACGCCCTCCCTCCGGAATTAGTATTTAATTTGGTCTACTGTGGTTTATTTCATTTCAGAACAGATATTTAGGCAAATGAAACCTCTACTATTCTGAAAATAGTTTCTTATCACATTCAGGGTCTGGACCACTGTGTTCCAGGCCTCCCACAGGAGCCCTGGGCTGTCACTCGGAGCCGCCTACTCCTTGGCTGGTTCACTCTGGAGTGCTCTCTGCCACAATTACGCTCCTTCCTTCCAGAAACAGCAGGAAGTGCCTCGATTTCCCTTTACGCCTGACTAGAGGCCCGGGCACGGAATTCTGTAAGAGCAGGCCTTTCTTCCCCCGGCTGCCAGCACCGGCTTCCAGCTGGCACGGGGACCCGGGCTTCCATCACAGCCCTGGCTTCATCCTGAAGGTCATCCGGAAGGACGTCCAGTCTAATTAGCACATTATGCTATTATTGTTATTATTGTTATTATTATTATTGATTCTGTAGCCAGCAAGCCAAATCAGGTCTTCACTGTCCTCTGTGTTGCCTGATCCTTCCAAGTTGTTCTGGATTGTTCCAGATGCTAAACAGCCAAGCAAGGTCAGCAGATGCATGCCCACGCAGGCCGGGCAGGACAATGCTCACTGATAAAGGAACAAGTGAGCTTGTTACATTCTCCTTAAGAGTTAGTACATTTGTATCCAGATGGTGTCCTCTCAAGGCCTCCGAGCAAAGCAAGGTTACAAACCAGCAAGGGTTAAACCTATCCAGAAACTGAGTCAGTGCATGTGAAAAACTGGTGAATATGGTCTGTGGTGCGTTAATATTAGACCAATGTCAGGTTTCTGGCTTTGGAAAGCATGACGGTTCCGTAAGAGGTTACCAGTGGGAAGCCTGGTGTTAGGGTGAGGCCAGTCTGTACTAGTTTTGCTACTTCTTGCCAGTTTTGAAATACCTAACTAGTTGTGCAGCTGATTGTTGCAGAGAGCTCAAAATGCCAGCAATCCAGGCATCATTAACCACTCCGGCTGCTTCCCGTGCTGGGAAAAGACATTCTTCTGCTTCTGTGAAAATGTTAAATTTCAATTCAGGAGGATTTCCCAACATACACCAGATCTGTAACTCCAAGAAGCATTCAGGGTCCTGCCATATGCCAGGCCATAGGTCAGAGGTCAGAGGTCTTACAGAAAAGGCGAAGAGGCAGGACTGCAAACTCAACTTAGGATCGGGGACTTAGCAGTCCTATTTGAAGACTTAATTTAAGCCTTAACTGTAATTTTCTTCACTTTTCATAGTTTTGGGCAGAACAGATGCTACTCTGTTTTAGAGTATCTCCTTGGAACTTCCTCTCTTCCCCTCTTCTCTGTCCTCCTCTGACACAAACACAGGCTGAGCTCCCCCGCCCATGGGGAGCCTGGAGGGAGGGAGAGTGACCCGGGCTTCCAGCAGCACCCATGTCTGCGTGGGTGTCAAACGAGACTGGGGAGACCCATCTCGAGCCGACCCTTGTGGGCCCTCAGTGAGCCCTTAACAGAAGCAAAGCCGGTGGCCGTCTGCCAGCTCCCCAGGCCCAGGCTGATCCGCGGCAGCTCTTGGGGACCAGGCCCACGGCGGGCGGAGCCAATGGCTTCGCAGCTGAGGACACAGGCGCCCAGACCTCCGCCACCTGCTTCCTCGGGAAGGAAGGGTCTCCTGCCGAGCACCGGGGGCCGCGTCCACCGAGGACTCCGCTCTCGAAGGCTCTAAAAGCTCCCTCTGTGCACACTGCCCACCGGCTCCTCTCCTCATCCACATTCTTACGATCCCCACATCCGCAATTCCTTCTCAGCACACATGTCCTCCTCTCATCTTCACGACACTTACTGTTTCTGCCCTCACTCGGCCGTCTCCAGAACAGAGTCTCGCCCTCGCCTGAGTCTGTCTGGCTTCCCACCCCCCTGCAGCCACCTGTGCAAGGCCTGAGCTCCTTCTTGCGGCCTCTTCCCACCACCACTTCCCACTCAGCCCCTCGCACCTTCGCTCACCATCTGCCCCCCTCCTCACTGTGCTCACCACACCTGCCGGTGACCTGCCCAGCACTAACACGCAGCCCCTCCGGCCACTAGGCCGGGCCTCTGAGCGGGGAGTCTGGGCCGTGCATCCAGGTGGGGCCTGGCTCTCAGCATGGTGACTCGCCTCCACAGACACTACCATCTAACTCCACAGCCACCCCTGGACAGAACGCGTCCCCCAGACCCAGTAACGGTGACTTAGAAAGGGTAACAGGACGCCACCTGGAGCCGGTGACTCTCCCCCACGGCTGGGGAAACCAGACACTCCACATTCCTGTTACACAGGACGGCCTCTGAGGGCTCAGGAAACGCAGCGGGCTGAGGCGGGATGTGGAAAAGAAGCCAGAGGAGAACCGTTAGGCACAGGACAGGAGAAACACCGTCCTCTCATCCCTCCGCAGTCCTGGCAGGGCCGCTGGCCCCTGGGGCGGCTCACGTCCCTTGAATTCTAGAGAAGTGTGATGACTGGGCCCTGTTGTTCGGTGCCTGAGCTGCTTCCGGTGAGATGGGCTGTGAGCGTTGGGCTGAGGAAGGCAGTGGCCTGTCTGGTGTGCGGGCACTCACTGGGGTGAGGATCTGGTGGAAGGAAGGAGTTCACTCCGCCTGCAGCTGGGCTGACTCCTCAGCCTCCTCCCCGGACTGGCCCCCATGATCTGTCCTCAGAGGCCACCAAGATCTCCTGGGTCTTCGCTCAGCCCCACAAATGAGGACCTGAGCCGGTTCTTTAAAGATCAGAAAGGCGTGTGCCTCCTGTCTGCTTTCCTTTGGGGAATCCGAATAGGACCTTGGCCGCAGAGGGGCAAGTCCCAAGGAGTGAGAGAGTGGTCAGCTGCTGTGTCCGCTGGAGGACGGGCTGGGAGCGCGCACGTAGTGGTGTCAGTGCGGCTGCGGAGCTTCCTGCAGCCTCTTCCTGACCGCAGTTCTCGGTAGGAGGAGCCGGTGCCCGGCGAGCACGGGGCACGTGGACTGGCAGCCCTCGTGGCCACCGCTGCAGCACCCTCACCTTACAGCCAGGGACACGTCCGGCGGCAGAGACGTCCAGACGGCACTGCTGCTCAAAGCAGAAGTGGGTCCTGACTCCCACCTGTGAGCCTCCGGCTCATCGAGGGAGCCTGAGTCCACAGCGGGGAGGGGCAGGGCGAGTTTGCCCTGGGGAGTGAGTGGGGTGAGGCCTCTGCCATGGCCTGGAGCAAGCTGGGGGCTGAGCAGGGACGCCAGCTGAGACCTCTGCCATCTTCTCTTGTGTCCCCTTTGTGGGAATTGGGGCTCTCTTTGCTGCTGTCCACGGACTCTGGGAGGTGGGGGGTAGGGGAGTGGGAGCTCTGATTTCATTAGGCATCTATTGCCACAAATTTGGAAGCCAGACCCCCCTCTTTCTCTCCATCACGCTTGACCTGTGCAGAGGGTCACCCAACACCATCTCACCCATCACTGCTCTGGGGTCCAAGTCCACGTCTGTCTCCCCTAGTTCTTCAGCCCACTCATCCTGGTGCCCCTGGCGGGGAATTGGGGGAGGGGGGGGGTGTCGGGAACACTCGGAGCAGGCGCCCCCTATCGCTCACACCTGGGAGCCCCGCTGGCCGCGGGTGTACCGGGCTCGTCTATTAAAACGATGACAAAGGGCCGAGGGAAAGCTACCGGAACACCAGTTTCTATGGACTCAAAGGGCCTCACTGACGCCGCGCTTGTTTGCAAATGACAACCCTGCCCACCACACACAATCTTCCTGCGCAGCCTCCGCATTCTAGGCACAGACACAACCCTGAGCCCAGCCACGATGAGCGGAGGGCCCATCCCACAGAGCGGGGCTCTGAACGGGTCAGCCGCTCGGCCGGAAGAGGAAGGCAGTGGCTGAGCGGAGGCCAGACCAGGAGGCAGACCCACCCGGCGAGTCCCTGAGCATCTGAGGCCCGCTGGCTGGGCGCTCCCCTAACCTCGTCTCAGGGTCCCTAAGGCAGGAGGACTCTTCAAGTTTTTATTTCTGAAACTATTTTTAAAGGCAACGTGGAAAAATATGGTAGAGTCTGCACATTTATAAACATAAGCATATTCAGCCTTTATAAATTACCTAAGTTACCTAGCCTTTGTTCGCAGCACTTCGGTACATCAATGAAGATTTCCTTACTGGGTTTTATCTGCCCTAGCAGGGTTTTTTTTTTTTTTTTTTCTTTTTTGGTTCTTTAACGTAAAAAACAAGTATATGTGGGTGAGGGTGGACAGTGGGTGGTCAGTGGAAACGAGGGCAGGAGGAAGGGAACGGCCTGCCTCGTGTGCACTGGCGTCCGTGGCGCGGCGTGGCGTGGGCGGCGTGGCGGACCGGCCCCGAAGCGTCACTCGTCCCCCTGCTGGAGGAGCAGCAGGTGTATCTCCTGGAACGAGGGCCGGTGCTTGGTGTCCCTCCTCCAGCAGCTCAGCATCAGCTTGTACACGGAGTCGGGGCAGATGGCGGGCTGCGGCAGGTACGTCTGGGAACAGAAAGGAGAACGTTGGGAGAGGGGAAGGGAGAGCTGCTTCGTAGTCACTGACCGGCCCTCGGCCCGGCCGCCTGGAAGGTGATCTCTGAGCCCCGGGGGTCCATGCCTGCTGGCCCCTCCCCCTTCGTCCCTTCAGCAGCAAAACTACGACTCAGGCTGGAGACGAGTGGTTAGAGCCCGGGGCCATTTAGACCACGAGATTCCAAGGAAAGTGCCCTTGGAAAGTCCTCACCACTCGTTAAACTAAACTGAAAACAAAACGTTCAGCGCATTTATGTTCAGGATTGAAATGACTGCTGTATAGGCTTGCCCTTTCAGTTGAATGCAAAGGGTTTAAGGTTTGCCCTGAGTATAAAACTCCTTCTAGAATTCATGTCACTGAGGTTTTCGTGAACGATAGCCGCTTTGTTCGGTACGTTGTGATGGTAACAGTGCCGTCGGAGGCGCCGGCAGGGGCGGTGGGAGAAATCCACTCTGCGCCAGCCCAGACTTTCACAGTCACAACCAAAACTCTACCTACAAAATGTAAAGCAGCAAGTAGGAATTGTAAATTAATATACTCTATCATCATAACAAAAGAGTAATATGCTAATTAGGCCAGGAGACCTTCCTGACAAAGCTGGGCTGCGAGGGAGCAGGGGTCCCGAGTGCCAGATGGAAGCCAGCCAGCAGCCAAGGGAAGGAAGGCCTCTCGCACGAATTTCGTGCATCGTGCCTCTAATATTTACCTAATAAAATGTACTAATATAAAATAATAAAATATAAATTTAATAAATTACATTTAGTAAGTTAATGTGTTAAATAATTTTTTCTTTTTAGTTTATTAATTTTTAGAGAGAGAGAAAGGAAGAGGGGAAGAGAGAAACAACTACTGGCTGCCTCCTGCACTCCCCCGACTAAGGATTGAACCTGAAACCTGGGCTTGTATCCTGACCTGGAGTCGAACTGGCGACACTTCCGTGCACAGGACAACACCCAACCAACTGGAGCTACACTGGCCAGAGCAAATTAATACATTTTTATTGAAAATTTAAATCTGTGCTTAGAGGCTTACTCAGAACAGAGTGGTGATATAACTTTGGCCTGGGCTTTTGTCAAATATTTGACTTCACTACTCAACCACTGGGCATCTGATCAGAATATATTAGTTCACTACCAGTGGGAAGTGGTGGACTTTTTACACTGAATATTTTAAAATGACTAAAAAATTGCCATCTGACCCAGTGGTCCCACTTCCAGGAATATATCCTAAGAAACCCGAAACACTCATCAGAAAAGATATATGTACCCCTATGTTTATAGCAGCACAAGTTACAATAGCTGAGATCTGGAAACAGCGCACGTGCCCATCAGTAGACGAGTGGTTAAAAAGCTGTGGGACATTTACACCAGGGAACACTGTGCAGCAGTAAGAAGGAGGACCTCTCACCCTGTGAGACAGCCTGGAGGGGCCTGGAGAGTATCATGCTAAGGGAAATAAGCCAGTCAGAGAAAGACAAGTATCACATGATCTCACTCGTATGTGCAATCTAAAGAACAAAATAAGCTGATGGACGGAGTGGATCCAGAAACATGGAAGCATGGAACAGTCTGTGAAATCTCGGAAGGAAGGTGGAGAGAATCATCAACCAAAGACCTTGTGTGCACACATGCATGGCCCATGGGCACGGACAATAGGGGACTGAAGGCCTGAGGCGGGGCCAAGGGTGGGCTGGAGGGGGCCAATATGGGGGAGAGGAGGAAGCAGACGTATTGTTGAATTATTTTAAGAAATAATAATAAATAAAATGAGTAAAAAATCCCAGAGATTATTAGAAATTGAAACTCTATTAAATGACAAAACTATTATGTGAAACTGAATAGCATAGCATGTAAGTAACCACTTTTGGAACCTTAGAGCTACATCGAGCTGTTTGACACGTGAGCAGCGGTGGACCTGCGGGGCCAGCCTGCTGGCTTCTGGGAGCTGTTTATGGTCCGATTCAGCCTCAAGGACGCACTTTCCCCTGTGAGATTCCAGTCCCCAAACAGGAAGCTGAGAGACAAAAGGTCACCATCTCCCTCCCTTGTCCATATTCCACCGGACCCAGCCTCTTCCCAGAAGCCCCGCTGAGCAGGCAGTGGGAGCGCTGCCGGGCCCTGCCTTCCCGCCTGCGCTCCGGTAACCTGCCCTTTGCCTCAGAGGGAGCTATTGCCTCACAACCCAGAGAGAGAGCTGAAATTCCCGCTCCACGGGCCCGAGGATCAGGTAAATCCAACCGCCCGCCTCCCACGGCAGCCTGCGCCCTCATTGTCCGCCCGTCTGGCCCTCCGTACCCCCGGGCCCACCTCCCATCTCCTGCCGGAGCCTCCTCCCCCAGCTGGGGGCGCGTGCAGGCGCCAAAGATGCCGCTCCCAGGGCCTGGGGGAGGTCACGGGGTCAGCCACCGGCCTGAGAGCGTCCCCAGGAGCGGGCCTAGGGGCTGGGAACTGCTTGTCCTGTCCTGAGAGGCGGGACCGGCCGAGGGTGGGGTCCAGGGCGCACCTGACTGTCTCAGGATATGTAGTCCAGAAACACCACCAGGAGGTCCACACGGATTTTTCGTGAATGCGAATAAATCACTTCCTTTCAAGGGTCTCTTTGTTAACCAGGGAGACAAACCTCACAGTTTAAAGCAAGAGCTAGCTCAAGCCTGAGAGCGAGGATTTTATTTCCTGGAATGTCTGGCTGAGGAGGAGCCTGACCGGCCCTCCTGCCCCCCGAGGACCTGTGTGCCTGGTGCCGGCCAGGGGCTGGTCTTCCATGTTATCTGGATGATTTGTGACAAAGGACTGCACCCGGGGCCGTCTCCCAGCCAGCCTGTCCGCTAAGCCAGGCCCCTTCTCCCCCCCAGAGCGCCCGCCGCCCGGCCGCCTCACCTGCCGCCCTTGGTCCCGGAAGAACTCGCCGGTGTTCTCGATGACCTGCTCGTCCGACAGCTGGGAGTAGGGCTGCTCCTGGCAGAAGGTGAAGGCCTCCCACAGAGTCACCCCGAAGGCCCACACGTCGCTGGCCGTGGTGAACTTGCCCTGTGTGATCGGCAGGAGAGGAAATCAGACCCCCTGCCCACAGGGGGCTGGTGTCCCACCCCACCCACCCCGGACAGCGGGCGGAGCGCTGTGAGGGCCCGGAGTCCCCGACACCCTCATGCCTCGCTCGGGGCAATGGTCAGAGCAGTGGCATTTGGGAAGAAAAGTCTCTTATCCCCCATGGACCAGAAGACCAAGAGTTGAATAAAACAAAGAACGATGAACTTAAAATAAAAAGTAAATGGTGATAGTCATTACAATAAAAATATAGAGATCAGTGTAAATAATTAAATAGAAACATGGTTATGAAATTAATACAGAAGAAAAGTATTTTGTGTGGATAACATTTCTTTAAATGGTTTTTTAGTTCCCTAAACTGATTAAGACCACTCAGTATGTGGGAAGGAGAGAGGGAAAAACACTAAACCCCTTATCATCATGGTGTAGTTTAACCCTTCCCCCCGAATTTCCCGCAGTGAGCACGTCACGTTTACCAGCAGAAACAGGCAAGTCACCGTGAGCACTCAAAGCCGGCCCTCCCCTCCTGGCAGACACCAGGCTGGCGGCCTGTGCGGGGAGTCCCGGCCGCATGCTCCCGCGGGGGGGGGGGGATGGGGGGGAAGGGGGAGGGGGGGAGGGGGGAGGGGGGAGGGGGAGGGGGGAGGGGGACGGGGAGGGGGGAGGGGGAGGGGGGAGGGGGAGGAGGGAGGGGGAGGGGGAGGGGGAGGGGGAGGGGAGGGGGAGGGGGAGGGGAGGGGGGAGGGGGGAGGGGAGGGGGAGGAGAGGGGGAGGGGGGAGGGGGGAGGGGAGAAGGGGGAGGGGGGAGGGGGAGGGGGAGGGAGAGGGGGGAGGGGGAGGGGGAGGGGGAGGGGGAGGGAGAGGGGGGAGGGGGAGGGGGAGGGGGAGGGGGAGGGGGGAGGGGAGGGGGGATGGGGGAGGGGATGGGGGAGGAGGGAGGGGGAGGGGAAGGGGGGAGGGGGGAGGGGGAGGGGGGGAGGAGGAGGGGGAGGGGGAGGGGAGGGGGAGAGGGGGAGGGGGAGGGGAGGGGGAGAGGGGGAGGGGGAGGGGGAGGGGTGCGCTCACCAGCAGGATGCTCTCCCAGGACATCCAGCGGATGGGCAGCACGGCGCGGCCCTGGATGCGGTAGTAGTCCCCGCTGTACAGGTTCCGGCTCATCCCGAAGTCGGCGATCTTGATGGTGTAGTTCTTGCCCACCAGGCAGTTCCGTGTGGCCAGGTCGCGGTGGACAAAATTCAGGGAAGAAAGGTACTTCATGCCAGAGGCGATCTGAGTCGCCATGAACTTCAGGTTGGCGTAACTGAGGAAAAACAGGAGGGAAGTCGGCCTGGACAGGAGCCATGGTGCCTGACATTCTGCCCGGCCCCGGGAACCGCCCCTCACGGCTCTGCTCTCCCTCGGGCAGCTGCTCCCCGCCAACCCGCCGTCCCTCCGGACACAGCGAGCCGCTGCGGACAGGGTGGCCTGGCGCTTACCTGACAGTGGGCCCCTGGCTGGGGGTGGAGCTGGGCGGCTCGTGGCGGGAGAGGAACTGGTTGAGGTCGCCGTTCTCCATGTACTCGGTGATCATGCACAGAGGGTCGTCGGCGATGCACACGGCGAGGAGGCGGATGATGTTGGCGTCCTTGAGGCGGGACATGATCTTTATCTCCTTCAGAAAATCGTTCCTGTGGAGAGAGTCACGGGGATCAGCCCAGCGAGCAGAGCAGTCGGGAGGTGAAGGCGGCCCAGGGCCCGTCCTCCCCGCAGGAGGCTGTTCCCAGAGGGCCTTTGGGCGGACGGAGGACCCGGGCTGCCTCACTCTCACCCGGAGCCAGGCCCCGGCCGCACTGGGACCTTCTGAGAACAAGAACTGTGACATCACGTCGCAGCCTGCACCCAGCCTCAGGCCTACAGGCCTGCCCACGGAGAGTGCCCCCACAGGCTGCACCTGACACACGCTGCCCAGAACCCCTTCACGGGAAATCGCACCTGACACGCACAGCAGCTCACCCCTTGGACAAGCCTGGAGCCGCTCTGTTAATAAGGCCCAGAGCACCGAAGCCGGTTTGGCTCAGTGGATAGAGCATCGGCTTGTGGACTGAAAGGTCCCGGGTTCCATTCCGGTCAAGGGCATGTACCTTGGTTACGGGCACATCCCCAGTAGGGGGTGTGCAAGAGGCAGTGATCGATGTTTCTCTCTCATCAATGTTTCTAACTCTCTATCCCTCTCTCTTCCTCTCTGTAAAAAATCAATAAAATATATATATATTTTTAAAAATAATAAGGCCAGACCCTCGGTCCACCTGTAACCCTGCATCTTCTCCCGCTGGCGTTCCTCACACAGGCACAGCGGCGAACCAACAGCAACAGTTTCTTACCGTTGGGGCAGCCACAGGGGGTCATTTCAGAGGAAGTGCTCACTGGGCCAGGATAGTAACTGTCCCTGCAGTTGGGGACAGCGATGTTTGGGTGGATGCGATCACCAGCCCACATTCCCCAAATTACTGCAACAGATCCATTAGTCTCCTGGGAGTTTTCTAGGGAAATTCTATCCATGGACACCCCCAAACCACGTCAAGTACAACAACCCCAAGCAGGGTTCCTCATGGCTCTACAGGGCCAGAGCCCTGGCCGCCACCACTGCTCAGAGGGTGTGGCTGCAGGAAGAGGTGCCATCGCTGGATGAGACCCAAGGGGTCACCTGTCATTCGTACTCTTATCCTTCATCGGGAGTTATCAGCTCCAATCCCGGGCCCCTCAGGTCTCCCTGGCCTTTCTTCACCCCACATCCTGCCCTTTGCAAGACCTTCCTGCACCCGATTCGCCATGTTGGAGCTCACGGTGTTTGAGGAGCGATCAGAAACTCTCTCACTCTGAGTCTCAGTGAGATGAGGGGGCCAACACGAGTGAGGAAGCGCCTGGTTCCCAGGGGAGGAGGGGGGAGGGGGAGAGCCCTCCGAAAGGTTGAGGACAGTGGAGGGGCGGGGACTGCGATCTACGGGGGAGGGGGTCCCTGTGGGGGAAACTGATAAAGGACCGTGGATCCTTCGCTTTGAGGTCCATGGTCCTTTTCCAAGTGGAGGTAGGTTCTCACGGGGGGGTGCTGGACATAGGAGAAAGGAGCACAAAAGAGGGGCCGATGAGAAGGAAATGGAGATGGAAACAAGGACGAGAAGGCTGAGCGGGAGCGTGTGTGGCCGGCAGGTAGGACACTCAGGCCTCCATGGACAACGGCACGTGTGGGATGTGAACAGGGAGCGAGTCCCGGGGGAAATGTGCCTTTGTCTGGGAGGGCGGTGGAGAACAAGGTGAGGATGCCGGCCCGGAAGAAGGTAACGGGTTACCACGGAAACGTGAAGTGACTCACAGGCCTCGCCCTCTCCAGAGAAAAGCTTGCCCAGGAGTTCCCGGGCGTCCCTGACCGAGGATGAGACACATCAAGGAAACGCAAAGCGCAGCCGCTGACCTGGCGTTCTTGTTGGCGTCCGCCCGCAGCATCTTCACGGCCACCAGGACCGGCTGGCTGGCGCTGGCATCCACGGCCAAGTCTTTGCCTTTGAACCTGTCCATTCCCTCCACTTCGCAGAGATGCACCTGGACGAAAGGCACACGTCCGGGCATCTGAGCTCCAAAGTGGCTCAGCCCCCACGGGGCCTCGGGGAGGGACACACACTCACACACACGTCCCACAATCAGACATAGAAGGTACATGTGACACATCTACCACCCACACACGCATACACACAACACGCCATCCACGGACCGGAACACGACCCGTGTGAGTGAATGTGCAGCAGCAATCACCACAACAGGACTCCCCGCCCAGTGAGCCGCTGTAACCACTGAACCTTCCGGTCAGACAAAGCGCCGGGCAATGTCCTAGCTGACCCCTTAGTGCAGGCAGCATTGCAAGTGTGGGATCCTGTAACAGCCCGTGACCGGCCTCTCTGCCTCGGGGCAGGACGGGGACACAGCACGGATCCTGTACGTCCTGCAGCCCCAACCCACCAGGGCAGGAGTGGCCGCGCCTGACAACCAGCCCCACGCCTGTTAACCGGTCACCGCGGGCGCGGGAGCGTGGCCGGCCATTGCCCTGACCTCGGAGGGAGGCGCGGTGAGGCCAGGACAGCCTGCCCGGAGGCACCCCCGGCTGCTCCTCCTTGGCTCGGCGGCGAGTCAGGCCGGGCGGCTGGGGGACACAGGCGGAGAGCGTGTGCAATCCCCGGACCCGTAGCTCCCATGGAGGGGAACCAGTGGCCACCGGGAACAGTGTGGGGCAGTTCACAAGAGACGGCACATGGCGGGTCCTGCCCTCTGTCCCCGACGAAAGGAACATACTGACGCCCTCAGGGATGGGAGAGCGGTGCTGCGTCTGCTCTAACAATCCCACAGCAGCCGCGCCCGGAGCCACGGGGCAGGACAGGGAGACCGCGGGGGGTGGCGGCACCGCAGGCCCGTCCTCCTGGAGGGACTGGGCTTCGGCGTCCGTCAGGCCACTCACCTCCCCGAACTGGCCCTCCCCCAGCTTCTCCTTGAAGGCCAGGAGCTTGCGGGGGAACTCCTCCACCCCCACGTCCTTGCCCGAGAGCAGGTCCATGGTGAGCGCGGGCACCGAGTAGGTGTTGCCCCCGGTCACGCCCTGCAGGTTCACGATGTCCGCCTCCGCGTAGTGGGGCGCGCCCTCGGCGCCGGGCGGGCCGGGCTTGGCGAGGCCGCTGCAGCCTGGAAGACAGGGCGAGGCTCGCTCGGGGTCCGGGGCGCCCGGGGGGGGGGGGGGGGGGGAACGGGGGGGGGGGCGTGAGCGACGGGGATGGGGCCTGGGATGGGCCCGTGAGTGACAGGGATGGGCCAGCCCCGCTTCCCACCCCACGTGGGGCTCCCAGCGGCGTCCTCATGGCTTCGGCCTGTAGGCCCTCGGCCCTCCGCCTTCCTCAGACCACAGGCCCGCGGCATGCCCTGGGGTGACCTTGGGACGCCATCCAGGCCGTGGCCTGGGCGGGCGCTGAGGCTGGAGCTCTCTCTAGCAGCATCGCCCTTCATTGTGAGGCCCCACCTCTGGCTTAGACCTCGCTGAGGTGCTGAATGCTTTCTGGCAAATTCACAAGATCGAGCCAGGCACCTCCACACTTGGAAGAAGCATGAAAGCATGAGGGGGGTCAGCGTCCAGAAGCCAGTTGCGCTGCTCCACCTGGGACGACGTTCAGGTTCTGCCTTTCCCTGCGGCCTGGCTGTGCACCCCGAGGCCGGCACCCCTCAGCACAGCCTCCCTGAGTCCCCGCAGGCAGCTCCCTCGCTTGCCTCCGCGGGCACCCCACGGGTCTGCGCCTGCCCTCCCCTCCCCTGAGCACCGTCCCCCCCAGCGGGGCTCAGCAGCCCCTCTGTGTGGCCCCACAGCCATCTTTAAAAGGACACTGGGGTGTGAGCCCGCTGGCACTGCTTTACAAGCAGAGCTTTTCCCGAAGAAAGCCAGCAATATGCTCAGAATACACCTGCGTGACCCCAGGAAACCTCACCACAGAGAGCTGAAAGGGGGGAGCCGGTCTGGGTGGGGAAGCCAGGCACCCAGGGCCCCGCAGCCCCTCTGCCCCCCTACAGGGGACCCCACAGACGTGGAGCAGGGAAGTCCCTTCTCTGGTCACTTGGCCCCTCTGTCACCCGAGGAGGCGGGCGAGGTGGGCGGGAGGCCCTCGGGCACAGAGGCCTCAGCGACCCCTCTGTGCACCTGCTCCCACCCGGAGGGGGGCCGGCCAGCACCTGCTCGGGCAGGAGCAGAGGCCTGGTGCTTGGTGGAGGCACGTGGGCGCCAGGAGGGCGGCGTGGCCACTCCCGCTGACCCCGGTGGCACCCCACCCGGCCACGGCTGCCCGCAGCTCTGCCGCCTCACCAGCCTCACCCGGCTCCTCCTCCCCGGGGGCGAACTCCGGGAGCTTGCGGATCAGCCTGGAGGGCTCCTGGTAGTCGGGCCGCAGCGGGAAGATGCGGTCGTAGGTGGAGCTGGAGCCCTGCTCGCTGGGCAGGGAGGAGTGGTGGTTCTGGAACATGCTGGACTGGCTGGGCAGCGACAGGCTGACGGTCATCTCGTCGTCCAGCATCCTCCGAGAAGCCTGGGCAGGGCAGGGGGGGGCTTGCTGCTCAGGGGCCTTCCGGCTCCTTTTACCTTGCCTCCCCTCTCCCTCCTGCCCCGCTCTCCCTGTCCCCCTGCCGCAGGCCTCACTTTGCGTCCCCTGAGGCCCTGACAGACGCTATTCACCTGCCCACTAAAAACCTGTCCGTCCCGCCCAGAGCTCTCAGTCCCACTTGGATGTCCTCCCAGCAGTGGCCTGGGCCTGCTCCCCCGCAGCTGAGCAACCCACAGGTGCCCACAGAGAGCCGAGCTCACTGACCCTGCGCCCAGCTCTACCAGCTTTATCAGCGCCATGCCATGGACAGCCAGGTGCACCCACCACTTCAGAGCACACAGCTCCTGCTGGTCCTGCCTAACGTGACGGCTGCTCTTTCAGAAAGTCTGACCCTGTGGCTGCCGGGCCCTCACTCACGCTGGAGTGTCCATGAGAAACTCAGACGCTGCTGCATCCCCAGCCTGCCGGTCCCCGTGGCAGTAAAACCCCAAACCCAAGCGGAGCCCAGCACTCTGGGAGGACGGTGGGAGGCCAATGCAGATCCGTTCACACGGTGCTGGGCGCCCACAGGAACAGCAGCCCGAAGCTCGTGCTGGTGATGTTGCAGCGCTCGGAGCCACGGGCCTCTGCTGGCCTTGCCCAGGGTCCACGGGGAAAGGACTTTCCGAGGACCGAGACAAACAGCCCAGGGCCAGCGTTCTCTCCTTCGTACCTGGAGCCGTCAGCATCTGCTCCACCCACGTGTTGGCTTCAGAAGCTGGGCCCAGGGGAGGGGGAAAGCCTGGCTCTCAGAGAGCCAGCTTTGGCGTGGGAAGCACAGACCTGCCCCCTGGTCCCAACCTGCTGTGCCATCAGGACACAGCAGCTCTACTGCCCGCGACCTCAGTCCACAGCCCAGCACCTCCCCCCCCTCCTCCCCCCACCCCGCTACCCCCGCCTGGATGGCAGGCAAATGCCAGGCATCACGCTTGCGGCAGGTGCCTCCCGTCCGTCTCAGTCGCTGTTTGTGGTGAGGGCTTTACCTCGGGGAAAGTGCTCTCAGACGGCGATGGAGGCCTAAGCCGCAGGGAAGCACAGCCTCGCCGCTGTGAAATGCTGCAGCCGAAAGCCCAGCGCCAACCTCAGTCATCCCAGACACTGACTGGGCAGCTCAGTCTGGAGCCCCGCGATGCCGTCCGGCCTCCCGGCCTCTCCGCCCTCCCTCCCCATGGGCACTGGTCTCCAGGGGCTGCCCAGGCTCTGCCTCCCCGCCCCTCCCCGTGGGCACAGTCTCCGGGCATCTCCCAGGCTCTGCCTCCCAGCCCCTCCCCATGGGCACAGTCTCCGGGCATCTCCCAGGCTCTGCCTCCCAGCCCCTCCCCGTGGGCACAGTCTCCGGGCATCTCCCAGGCTCTGCCTCCCAGCCCCTCCCCGTGGGCACAGTCTCCGGGCATCTCCCAGGCTCTGCCTCCCAGCCCCTCCCTGTGGGCACAGTCTCCAGGGGCTGCCCAGGCTCTGCCTCCCAGCCCCTCCCGTGGGCACAGTCTCCAGGGGCTGCCCAGGCTCTGCCTCCCAGCCCCTCCCCGTGGGCACAGTCTCCAGGGGCTGCCCAGGCTCTGCCTCCCTGTCCCTCCCCATGGGCACAGTCTCCAGGGGCTGCCCAGGCTCTGCCTCCCCGCCCCTCCTGTGGGCACAGTCTCCAGGCATCTCCCAGGCTCTGCCTCCCCGCCCCTCCCCTCACAGGCAGTGCCAGCCCCACAGCCCACGTCCACGGGAGCTCCTGGCCCAGGAGGACATCCACGGCCAAAGGTAGGAACCGTTACTCCTCGGAGGAGCCTGAGACACTGAGCAGTCCGGTCCAGAAGACTGGACTCTGACCCAAGCAACCAAGCGAGTCATGGCTAGTGCACCTGTGAGCTGAGCATGTTTGGGAAGAAATAACATATTTGAAGACTGAAAGAACACAGAGACCACGTGTGAGTCGTGTGACAGGGAGCATGTCATGTGTTGTCATGAGAAAGGCCATCAGGCACACTCTGCCCAACTCGCCATCACTCAGGGAGGGCCATGTGGAAGTCCATGTAGATGGTAAAGCGTCAGACAGATGTAGTGACTATTATTCAGATAATTGGGCCTGGACAGGAAACTCTGAGGAAGGGCCAAAGGGATGGACAACTGTAGCTACACGAGCAGAGAAATAGGAATAGAACTGTGAGAACGTGGCTTGGATATTAGTGAGGCTGGTTGTTTTACACACACACACACACACACACACACACACACACACACACCAAAAAATAAACAGCAAAGAGGAGGAGCAGCATTGGCAGAGATCTTAGGTAGGTCTGAGTTGTCCATCAGAATCACTTGTGAGTTTTTTTAAATTGTGTTTTAAGAGAGAGAGGAAGCGGGATGGAGAGAGAAATAGAAACATCGATGGAAGAGAAACATTGTTCAGCTGATTCCTGCACATCACAACCTGACATGAGCCCTGACAGGGAATCCAACTGTGACCTAGTGCACGGGTCAATGCTCAGCCACTGAGCCACATCAGCTAGGCTCCTGCTAATGTTTTAAAATAAATAAGTGTACGTGTATTTTTTATTGATTTCAGAAAGAAAAGGAGAGAGAAAGAGAAATATCAATGATGAGAGAGAATCATTCAGCAGCTGCTCCTGCACGCCCCACACTGGGGATGGAGCCTGCAACCCAGGCCTGTGCCTGACCGGGAATCAAACCATGATCCTGGTCGATGCTCAAACACTGAGCCAGGCTGGCTAGGCCTCCTGTTATTGATTTTTAACACACATGCCTGCACCTCCCCTCCCCAGGAACAGGCATCCCCACGGCAAAGCTGACTGAGATCTAACAGTTGGGTCTTCTGGGAGGTCCCAGTCTCCACTCTGACAGCGAGAGCATGGGCCTGGCCCGTCCTTTCCTGGCTCCCTCCCCACGAGACACCCCCTGTGCTCCGGGGCCTGGGCGGGCTCCTCACAGGTGCAAACTCTCACAGTTCGCCCTTGGGTCCTGGGCAGCCGTGGCCTGGCGCCGCCTCACCTTCTCCAGCATCTTCTGCCAGAACTGCCTCCACAGGATGGTGACGATGACGGCCAGGAGGATGAAGATGATGGCCACCAGGCAGCCGATCAGGATCCGGGTGTTACTGTCATCGACTTTCAGCATGGGGTCTGCACCCAGAAAGAGACGGAGAACACTGTCATCGCACGGGATGAGGAAGAGGAGGGGCTGGGCCAGGAACAGGGGCCTCAGGTAATCCCTCCGGTGCCACCTTAGCACCTGCTTCTTCTCGGCCTGCTACTCAGTCCTCTTGCTCCTCCCCCCGTGTCAAACTGGGTCACGGACAGCATCCCACCCGTCCATGGAGACCCCGGGACCTCCCCCTGCTTCTGCTCCGGTTTCCCAGCTCTCAGAAGCCGCTGGAAGCAGGCCGCCTCCGCCTGGGTGAGCACATGCGGGCAGGGCGGAGTGGGCACTGGGCCCACCGTGGGGGCGCTGTCTCCGGGCAGAGCCACCGCGCCAGCGCCCACACACACAGCAGGTGCCGTCTCCGCCCCGGAGCCCCCTTCACCCGGGTTGTGGACGGCAGACTCACCGTAGGTGGTGGGCGCCCCCGGCGAGGCGGGCGGGGCCCCGGAGGTGTTGTACATGGCGGCATCTGCGGGGACAGCGAGTCAGCGTGTGGGCGGAAGTAGGCAGGTCTCACAGAGGGCGGCCCGGCCCGGCCCGGCGGGAAATCAGCTCCGGGCCTGCCGCTCACCTTCCTTAGCACTGGACGCCAGCAGCGTCTGCAGACGCAAGAGGCAGACCTTCCCCCCACGCCACATGCATCTATAAAAAAAGCTTTCCCTAAGTGGCAGCCCTGACCAATTTCAAAATCATTTTTTCATGAGAATTTTCAGCTGAAAATACTCAAGAGCTCCCAGATTGTGAGTAATATATTTATAATATTCAATGCAAATTGATTTTTTAAATTAAATTCAAAATACCATGGTGTGTGGGGATGGTTTCCATTTTGGATGCATGGCAGTTAACTGGTCAAGCATGAAATCATGGCTTACATTAAACAAAAATATCACTACTCATATATTAGTAAGCGCAGCTTTTGTGAAACTTGTGTATAAGTCATTATAGACTAGGCGCCATGATATGAGAAAGAAAGAAACAGTGATGTGGCCCTGGCCCATTTTTCTCAGTGGTTAGAGTGTCAGCCCACGGACTGAAGGGTCACAGGTTCAATTCCAGTCAAGGGCACATACCTGATTGCAGGCTCCAAACTCAGCCCTGGTTGGGATACATGTAGAAGGCAACCAATCGCTGTGTCTCTCTCACATTGATGTTTCTCTCTGTGTGTCTCTCTCCCTCCCACTCTCTCTAAAAGTTAATGGGGAAAAAGTCCTTTGGTGAGGATTAAGTAGGAAAGAGAAGAAGGAAGGAGGGAGAGAGAAGGAGGGAGGGAGGGAAGGAAGAAGGTAGGGAGAGAGAGAGGGAGGGAGGGAGGGAAGAGTGATGTGGCTGGTGAATGCAGAGGAACACAAGAGGCAGAGGCCACTCGTCAGCATCCCTGAGGAGCTGACTCAAGCAGCAGGCATCATGGAGGTGCAGGCTCATGGGTATCGTCCCTCTCCCTGCCCGAGAGTGCTCCTAACAGCCCAGCCCAGTTTTGACCTAAAGCACTGAACACATCCCGGAGGTTAAATCTGCTGACTTCCTGACCCGTGAGAAAGTTTCACACACTCCCAGGTTACTCACAAATCGCCTTCAGAAAAGAAACCAGGAAAAGACTAAAAACCTATGCAAGCCTTCTGCTTGTCCTTTAAAAACATTTCTTCAGGGGGAGGGGTGAAAGCTCTGGCAGGTTAATCAGGCAAAAATTTCCCTGATAAAGCAATCAGCCCTGGCCGGTGTGGCTCAGTGGATGGAGTGTCGGCCTGTGGACTGAAGGGTCCCAGGTTCAATTCTGGTCAGGAGCATATGCCCAGGTTGTGGGCTGATCCCCAGTAGGGGATGTGCAGAAGGCAGTCGAACAATGATTCTCTCCCATCATTGATGCTTCTATCTCTCTCTCCCTCTCTCTTCCTCTCTAAAATCAATAAAAATATTTTTAAATAAAAATAAATAAAACAATCTCCCCTTCCTGCAAAAAAATAAATTAAAAAAGCTCAAAGCACCATCTAAGAGCCATTGACAAAAGTAAACATGGAACCAGAATTGAAATCAGCCTTAGACATACCCTCCCGTCTGAGGGATGAGCCACCAGCCAAACCAGAACGCAGTTTTTAAAAGGGGCTGTTTCAGATTAAAAGAGACATTTGGGAATAAAATAAAGGAAATAGCCCGAGAGGGCCTTCTCCCATCAGCCAAGTCAGAGACATCACGAGACAGCAGGAAGAGAGGGTGGGCCTCAGGGACACGGCTAGCTGTCACGTGGTGTGTGCGTGTGAAGACAGTGCTATTTTCCAAGCGGCACCCTAACATCTTTAGGAATGAAATCAGACATTGCCTTAGATTCACCCAAAAATGCTGTGGCAAAGGGGAGAACAGAGCAAGCAGGTGTGAGGGCCGGAGCGGGGACCGAGGGCCGTGCTCCTTCCTGTGTTCAGAACGTTTCCTCCGGACGTTTGGACAGGACGTGGGCCTCCGCGGACGGCCCAGTACAGAGGCGTCCGGCACGCCGCACCTCGCTCTCCGATCCTCCTCTCAGCTCCTCCAGACACACACGTGAGAGCCAGCAAACGTCCTTCCCGACGGCCGTCCCTGCGCCCTCAGGGTCCCTCCATGCCCGGGAGGAGCCAGGGCGGCCCCACCCCCCGCACCGGGCCCAGCCCACCTGACTGGAAGGTGATCTCGCTGAACATCATCCAGGTGTCGGCGAAGTGGTACTGGCACTTGAGGGCGCTGGCCATGCGGTGCTGCAGCGGCACGGTGACGAAGCGGGCGCTGGGGTTCGCGGCGTCCAGCACCAGCGGGAAGCTCACGGCGTTGGGCTCCCACTCGCCGGCCTCGGAGCGGAAGTAGCACTGCACCTCCCTGAAGGTCTTCACGCCCTTCTCGAACATGTTGTTGCAGTGCACCTGGGGGGGGGGGGAGTGACTCTCCCGCCCACACCCGCCCCCCCGCACAGACCACATCCCCGCCGCCAGGCCTTGGACAGAGCCCCCGGTCCCTCCAGAGAAAGGCTGAGGCTGCCATGGGGGGGGGGGCGAGCGCTCCTGCCAAGGGGAGCCCGCAGCCGCTCCCTGTCACTGGCCTGCAAGCAGGGCTCTGCCAGGCCCCTTCCTGCCTCAAGCGCCTCCCCGCACCCGCGTGGCAGAACGTGTGGCCTAGAGACAGACACAGGCACCAGCGACTGGGGCGGCCACCTGGCCGCCCTGCGGTGACTGAGCGTCCCCTGCTGAGTGCAGGGCCAGAGCCCACGAGCCGTGGAGGAGCCGGGGCCAGCCAGAGACCAGGCACACCCCGCCTGTGGACGGCTGTGCTCGGGGCTGGGGAGGCGCCCGGTGGGAAGTGGTTCAAAATGCAAAGCCCACCCCCCCGCCCCATCCCGTGGGGAAAGCACCAAGCAGAGGTCCCTCCTGGGGGGACAGCCTCCTGGGGGGACAGCCTCCTGGGGGGGAAGCCCCCTGGGGGGGGCAGCCTCCTGGGGGGACAGCCTCCTGGGGGACAGCCTCCTGGGGGGACAGCCTCCTGGGGGACAGCCTCCTGGGTGGGACAGCCTCCTGGGTGGGCAGCCTCCTGGGGGGACAGCCTCCTGGGGGGGACAGCCTCCTGGGTGGGACAGCCTCCTGGGTGGGCAGCCTCCTGGGGGGACAGCCTCCTGGGGGGACAGCCTCCTGGGGGGGACAGCCTCCTGGGGGGGGCAGCCTCCTGGGGGACAGCCTCCTGGGGGGACAGCCTCCTGGGGGACAGCCTCCTGGGGGACAGCCTCCTGGGGGGACAGCCTCCTGGGGGACAGCCTCCTGGGGGACAGCCTCCTGGGTGGGGCAGCCTCCTGGGGGGGCAGCCTCCTGGGGGGGACAGCCTCCTGGGGACAGCCTCCTGGGGGACAGCCTCCTGGGGGGACAGCCTCCTGGCTGGGACAGCCTTCTGGGTGGCACGTCCCTGCACAGGGTCGCCGCCCAGCCTGGCACTTGTGCCTCTGGGGGCCCCTCCCCACTTAACGAGATGTTAAATCAAGCTGTGTTGTTAAAAGGGGAGGGTAATTTTTGGCCCCAAAGGTAATTGTTTTCTTCTGATATTTAAAGAAGTTAACCATTTCTGTGGGCCCACAAGCATGGTGGGCCCTGGAGACCGCCCGCCGTGCCGATGGGCGCACCGGCTCCACGCTGGCACCACCCTGGCACCATGCAGCAAGGGGCAGCATCTCGTCCGCCTGCAGCCTGTTACAGCGAGGAGATGCCAGGCGGGATGGCCGGTCAGCAGCCCCCGCCACGCCCGTGGCCATGGCCCGCTGACCTTCATGGTGGTGAAGTTCCGGATGCGGTCAAACTCGAACACCATCTCGATGTAGCCGTTGGCCACGCTCTCGTTCCTCCAGCCCACGTAGTCGTAGCCGGGCCACACGTGGTACTCGTGGGTCTGGGTGAAGTCGTCCAGGCCGGACACGCCGTCCGTCAGCTGGCCCAGCCCCTCGGTCATGCTGCCGCCACGGGCGAGAGGGGGACAGAGGCCCGCGTTAGCGCGCACCCGGAATCTCAGAATCGCCGTCCGCCGGTTCTGAGAGCTGGTTACCATGGCGGCGCGGGGCACGGAGAACCCGACACACCTCACCGCACGGCTCGTCCATCCGCATCGGAGCAGCACCCGGCTCCGCACCGACGCAGTTCGCAAAGCCTTTGGTTTTGATTCCCGTCAGAAGCAAAGCTTTTAAACAGGATCTTATCACTTCCTAAGCTCTGTGGCGTCCTTACCTGTTGTTACACACCGAACTAGCAGGTCTTGTTATAATGACCCAATGTTACTGAAGACATTGACTAAGGAATCCGGGAGAGCGAGTGAGGGATGCACACAGAGTGGACAGCGGCCTGCCCGTCCCATGTGCTGTCCCTGAGCTGGTGGGAAACCAGTTATTCAGGGAGTGAGTCCCAGGCAGCCAGCCCGCACCCCAACACCCCATCCCACACCGAGCCGAGGGCAGGAGGCACTGCCTTCCGCCCGCCCCGGGAGAGGCGAAGGCCGAGAGGGCGAGCCGGCAGCCCAGGAGTCACGGTGCGAGGCACAGAGCCGAGGACCGTGCGGTGGCTCCGGACGGACCGGGGGGGGGGGGGGGGGGGGGGGGCACTTCTTGAGGCGCCACTCGGTAAATGATAGGAATGTCTACTTACTACTCTGTACACCTGAAAACAACCCGAAATCATACTGGAAGTAAACTGCAATTTAAGAATAAAAACCTGCCACATTTAACACTCATTTATATTTAACTTAAACTCACAGACAATGAGCCCCACGGAGTGAGGGGCATGGGTGACACAGGGGCCTGGCAGCCCTCAGGCAGCCCTCTGCCCCTGGACAAGGCGCTCCGAGGGCGGCCTGCAGGAGGGAGCTCGGGCCTTTCCGGGCGGGACTCTGCCCTGGGAGCTCTGTCCTCTCAGCCTCGACATCTCTGCTCCTCCTCCTTGTGTCACGGCTCAGCCTCCACGCCTTGTTCCCTGCGTGAATGACCCTTGGCAACCCTCCCCCGTCACCATGTGGCCGGGAACCTCATCCTGCCTCCACCCCGTCCTGGCCCTGGCATTCCAGTTCCTCTGAATTGTGATAAAATCTGCCTCCCTCTGCCTCGCACCTGCAGCTCCGGTGAACCGAACTGCTGCTCTCCCCGTAAAGGGAGGCTGTGGTCCTGTCCACCTGCTGCCCCTCTGCCTCCGGCGCCATTTCCATGCCCTGCCTGCTGGCTCCGCTACCGTCTGGGCCCATCTAGCCACCCCGTCCCCCCCAGGGTGCTGGCCGGCCCTCCGTTCACATACAGCTACCGCCCTTCAGGGGCATTTCCATCGTTTCCATCACTTGAGCCTCAGACAAAGAGAAGGGACCTTTGTGGCTGGGCTCCTCCCGGCGCGGCCCTCCTCTGCCCCAGGCCGCTGGGGACATGCTCACTCACACCGTGTACGGCCGCGGGTACCTGCTGTAGCCCAGCCCTACTGTGCGCTCCGGGCCAGCGGCTGCATCTGAGAATGCCTGCCATGCCGGCAGGTGCCTGCCCCTCAGGCCGATTGGTGAGCGAACTGGACTGAAGCCTGGCACTTCCTCTGGGCCAGGGAATCGCCGGGCTGTGGCTGATAAAGCAGCGGGGAGCGGGCCCAGCAGGCGGGAAGGAAGTGCGGAGCAGGAGGCCGGGTCAGGGTGGCCGGGAGCCGCCTGCTCTCCCCTCGGGGCTGTGGGCATGGACCTCACGTTCCTGAGTCACCAACCTCGGAGCTCCCGTCCGGCCCGTGCTGTGGGCTGCCTCCGCAGGCTCCACTTTTGCCAATTACACTGAGCTGAGGAGCTGAGGTGGTGACGTGGGCGGGCAAACGGCCAGGTGTGGTGGCACGGGGGCAGGTGGGACAGGTCTTATCCAACCCCACTTCCCGCAGGCCTGAACACAGCCTCACAGGTCACTTCAGGCCGTCACTGCTCCAGCTCCTGGGCCCTCAAATCCCCCACCCACACCCACCCTCAGCTCCAGCTCCTGGGCCCGGTGTCCTGGTCCTCACCCCCACCCCCACCCCAGCCTCAGCTCCAGCTCCTGGGCCCGGCGTCCTTGTCCTCACCCCCACCCCCACCCCACCCTCAGCTCCAGCTCCTGGGCCCAGCGTCCTGGTCCTCACCCCCACCCCCACCCCAGCCTCAGCTCCAGCTCCTGGGCCAGGCATCCTTGTCCTCACCCCCACCCCCACCCCACCCTCAGCTCCAGCTCCTGGGCCAGGCATCCTGGTCCTCACCCCCACCCCCACCCCAGCCTCAGCTCCAGCTCCTAGGCCAGGCGTCCTGGTCTTCACCCCCACCCCCACCCCAGCCTCAGCTCCAGCTCCTGGGCCCGGCGTCCTGGTCCTCACTGCACACTTCCCCACCCCACCCCCCGCCCCCGGGCTCCAAGGACCAGCCTGTCCTCAAAACCAAGCCCGCCTTGTCTACCCTAAGCCTTTCCTCCCAGCCCCGTCTTTTCATACCTCCTAAAGCACCTATAGTTATGGGGGCCATTCTGTGCAATTTATTAACGGGCGCCCATTCCCTGCGGCCGCGCACAGCTGCCCTTCGTGTGTCAGGCCCTGTGTCTGCTTCCCGGGAGACCACAGCTGCGCCCCCGCCCGGAGCCATCCCGTTACCGCAGCCTCCCCGCCGGCCCACTGCCGGTGAGTAAGCTACCCGTTGGCGTCATCTGAATTACCTCACAGTGCCCAGGACAGAGTCTGAAGAAACACTGGATGGTTGGTTGATTGACTGATTGGCTATTGATCCCAAACCATGATAAAATAGAGTTCTCTTTTAGTATCCATTTCCCATTCTGAGCACTCAAGTCTCCAAGAGTTTACCGGTAACACACAGCCCCGTGTCCCAGGGTTTACCTGGCCCCACAGCCCCGTGTCCCAGGGTTTACCTGGACCCACAGCCCCATGTGCCAGAGTTTACCCCACAGCCCCGTGTCCCAGGGTTTACCTGGACCCACAGCCCCGTGTCCCAGGGTTTACCCCACAGCCCCATGTCCCAGGGTTTACCCCACAGCCCTGTGTCCCAGGGTTTACCCCATAGTCCCGTGTCCCAGGGTTTACCCCACAGCCCCATGTGCCAGGGTTTACTCCACAGCCCCGTGTCCCAGGGTTTACCTGGACCCACAGCCCCGTGTCCCAGGGTTTACCCCACAGCCCCGTGTCCCAGGGTTTACCCCACAGCCCTGTGTCCCAGGGTTTACCTGGACCCACAGCCCCGTGTCCCAGGGTTTACCCCACAGCCCCGTGTCCCAGGGTTTACCCCACAGCCCCGTGTCCCAGGGTTTACCTGGACCCACAGCCCCATGTCCCAGGGTTTACCCCACAGCCCCGTGTCCCAGGGTTTACCCCACAGCCCCGTGTCCCAGGGTTTACCCCACAGCCCTGTGTCCCAGGGTTTACCCCATAGTCCCGTGTCCCAGGGTTTACCCCACAGCCCCATGTGCCAGGGTTTACTCCACAGCCCCGTGTCCCAGGGTTTACCTGGACCCCACAGCTCCGTCGTAGACAGAGTCGTTCAGGTAAATGACGGCGCCTCCAGGGAGCACAAACTGCTGGCCGGCCGGGGCGTTGTAGGACACCAAGCCGTCTGGAGGGGAACAGACGGTCAGCCCGGGAGCCGGCCAGCCCCGAGCCCCCAGGCCTGACCTGGGCACAGGAGCCCAGCTGCGGAGTCCCCAGAGCAGCGGGCGACTGAAGTGATGGGGACCCCCACCCTGGAGGGGTCCAGCGCTGGGTGAGCGATGCCCTCTCTCCTCTGCCCGGGGGCGGCTGCCGGGGCCGCCCGCCACCGCCGCTCGCAGACCTACCGAGCCAGACGCAGCCGTAAAGCTCCACCCGCATGCACACGTTCATGGCGTGGTCGGTGACCGGGATGAAGCGGACGAACCTGGCCACGATGGGCGGCTCCAGGTCCTTCAGGAAGATGTCGTAGGGGTTACTGCTCCCGTCCAGCACCTGAGCGGAGAGCGGAGCGAGTGGGATGGCCGTGACACCCGCGGGCCCCCCTCCCGGCTCCCCGGGGCCGACGACCCTCCACCTGCTTCCCGTGCCGGTTCCGCCAGGAGATCCAGCGCGCGCCGTCCCGGCTGTAGTGCAGCCGGTACATGGGGGCGAACTCGATGCCGTGGCCGCCGGCGTGGCGGCCCTGGGTGCCCACCAGGGTGATGAAGTGCAGGGAGCGCAGGTCGATCTGCAGGAACTCCTTCAGGTCGTCTGGCTCCACCGGGACCTCCGGGCACCAGGCTCCATCCCCCTCCTCCGAGTCCAGCCTGCAGCACACGGGGGACGGGGCCGTGACCCCAGACTCACGGAGACCCCAGACCCGCCACTCCCCTGCGGCACTGCACCCTGGGCCCCGCGGGTCAGACCCCTCTCCCCGGCACCCGGGGCCAGAGAACAGTCACCCTGGGAGCTGGCCTCAGGTCACAGGGAGGCCTGAGTCCAGAGGCAGGACCTCAGTGGAAGGGCCGTGCGTGACACCGCCCCACAGTCACGGCACCTGCCGCCCCGATGGCCGCCTGGATGCCACCACAGGTGGGCAGTGCGGCCAGCAGGAGGGACGTGGCCGCCCAGCAGGGGGAGACACGGTGGGAGGGAGGGTGGAGAACCGGCGTTATCTGGCCCTAACAAGCAAAGGGGCTTCGGGCAAGGAGCCGTTCCTGCAGAGACCAGTCCCCGAGCACGGAGCACCATGCTCCCGGGGTCGGGGTGGGGGGCTTCCGAGAGGCATCCTTGGGGGCAGGGTGCTCCCAGAGCAGGCCCCGGAGGCTCGTCTCTGAGGGCAGGTCCTCGCTGGCCTGTACCTCCCGCGTCTGCCCCCGGGGCCCGCCCTCACCGTCCATATCTGGCCGCGGTGGACTCCGACCACTGGCTGGATGCGGTGATGTCCTCGTCCGGGATGTGGCCTCCCGACATGCCCAGCGGGTAGCGGCACACGGCTGGACCGGGAGAAAGCGAAGACAGGAAACCGTGGCTTTACGGCCAGAGCCCGGAGAGCGGTGTGACCGGACGGGCAAAGGCGGCCGCATCCTCAGGGGGCTGTGACCCGCTTTGCTCCTGTGACGCTCAGCCTTGCTCCCGGTTCCGCCCCCAACCGATGACCACGCCATCGTCCGCGCGTTGACCCTTGACCCGTGGCCCAGGTACCGATCGGTCCAAACGCTGACAAGGACTCTACTGCGAGCTGTGAAGCTCCCCCACACACGCTCCCTGCCAGCAGGTGTGGCTCCCCGCACCCCGGGCCGGGCCCAGGGCACCCCTTCCTCCGGGGTGTTCCATGGGACTGGCGCAGCCCAGAGGCCCGGGAGGCGCTGAGCAGTTCCAGGCCCATCGGCACTGGCTGCACCCGGCTCAGTCCGGAACCTGGGCTGGACCCTCCACCGAGGGAGGCCGGGCCGGGCGCTCTCCCAGTGAAACAAACACAGAAGAGGACAAAGCGTGGAAACTGGGTCCGACACAGCGGGCATCAGACCACGCAGGGCAGCGGCCCTGAAAGGACAGCAGGCGACGAGCCCACTCCGCACCAGCTCCTGCCGCCGTGCCGGGCTCAGGAGCGAGAGCCCCGGGGGCTGGAGGGTGTCCTGAGGGGGACAGAGCGGAGCCCGGAGGACAGGGGACAGAGCGGAGCCCGGAGGACAGGGGACAGAGCGGAGCCCGGAGGACAGGGAGGACAGGGGACAGAGCGGAGCCCGGAGGACAGGGAGGACAGGGGACAGAGCGGAGCCCGGAGGACAGAGCGGAGCCCGGAGGACAGGGGACAGAGCGGAGCCCGGAGGACAGAGCGGAGCCCGGAGGACAGGGGACAGAGCGGAGCCCGGAGAACAGGGAGGACAGGGGACAGAGCGGAGCCTGGAGGACAGGGAGGACAGGGGACAGAGCGGAGCCCGGAGGACAGGGAGGACAGGGGACAGAGCAGAGCCCGGAGGACAGGGGACAGAGCGGAGCCCGGAGGACAGAGCGGAGCCCGGAGGACAGGGGACAGAGCGGAGCCCGGAGGACAGAGCGGAGCCCGGAGGACAGGGGACAGAGCGGAGCCTGGGGGACAGGGGACAGAGCGGAGCCTGGAGGACAGAGCTTGCAGGAAGGACAGGAGGGGACAGAGCTTGCAGGAAGGACAGGCCAGAGGAAGTGCAGGCCTCCCAGCTACACTTACATTCCAGACAAAAACAAATGCCCTGAGCTAAACATGTCCCGTGTATTATAATTGGAAAAAAAACAGTCATGTAAAGAAGCAGGGAAACAGAACTTCTAATGAGAAAAATCAACCAACTGCAACTGATTCAGAGCGGATATAGAGAAGAGAGTTGGGAACTCAAACAGTAAAACAGAACTGTGCTGCGTGTATTTAAACCGTAAGGAGAGCTTATATGATACCAGTGCCCCGGTGCATGGATTTGTGCACGTTGAAAGGAAATTAATCAGAAGGTGGCCGGCGGGGCGGGGCACGCCCCGGAGCCACCCTCCATGGTCCCTCCCCAGCAGCGGCACCTGGGGTGGCATCGGCCGAGTGAGCGGGGTCCCTCCGGCAGGTGGGGTCCCTCGGCCTGGCCTGTGGGGATGGGGCCAAAATCAACTCTCCAACATCCCCCGAGGGTCCCAGGGTGCGAGAGGGCACTCTGCAAAGCTGCTGTGGTACCGGGTTGGGAACACAAACACAGTGAGCAGTAACCAGATTCAGGGCGACAGCGCCCCAGCAACAGCACAGCCACGGCTGAAGGTGGGATCATGTGACCACTCCCCGCGAGGCCATCCGTCACGATGTCTGTGAGGACATGGTGCCACCAGCCACAGCCTTGGGACGGGCGTTTTTGCATAAATTAACAAAATTATTCCAAAATTCACAGGGCAACGCAGAGACCCCCGAACAGCCTAGCAACCTGGAAAAGCAGGTCACGGCCGGCCCCCTTCTGAGAGTTCTCACACGGGCACAGGCTCAGCTGGGCAGGGCGCAGGGGGCAGGGCCCCTCAGCCGCAGGGGAAGGACCAGCTGGGGCTGGCGTCCTGCATCCCAGTGGGTCCCTGGGACCAGGATGAGCCATGGCCCTGCACCGGCGCGGCATTCATCGGCAGCACCGGGGGACCCAGCCCAGACCGACGGTGAGAGCTGCCAAGTGGCCCAGGCGCCAAGTGCTAGGCCCGAGGCCCCCACGCCCTCCCTGTCATTCCTCAGATCACAGTTCCTCTGGAAGACCCAGAACTCTCCAGAAGCAACCATGCTGAACTCTCTGAGCTGTCCTGGAGTCCAGACACAGCCAGCGCCAGGAGTGGGCGCAACAAGGGGCATGGGCCTGGCGTTCAGGCAGAGCGCGGCTCCTGGCTCTGCTGCCAGGCTGTGCTGGTGGTTTCCCTGAAGCTTCCGCTGCGCTCCTGGAGGAGAAGCCGCCTCCCTCTTCCAGCTCCGGAGTGGAAAAGTACCGTTGCCGAGGCCCAGGCCCAGGGGCGCACCCCGGCGCTGCGTCCGGTGGGCTTGGCGGGCCGGCCTGGGAGGAGCCGCTGCCCAGGAACCACGGCCCGATGCTGCCAAGGTGGAAGCCTCAAAGGGCTGCTTGTTCGTGCTGTTTGCTGTCTGGCTCGAGTCCCCGCCTCGGCTCCCGTCAGTGCGAGTCCTATTCGCTTCCAGGAAAACGCCAGGCGCACGCGAGGCCCCTCTGGGCACCGGAGGACACGAGTGACCGGGAGGGGCGCTCAGGACGTCGGCGGTCACAGGAGCCCGCGGACTGAGCCTTCAGAGCCAGGAAGGGCCGCCCGGAGACAAGCCCCAGCCACGGCCCCACGTAAAATCCTGGAGCCGGAGCGGAGGCGGGCTTACCCGGGTGCAGCTGCCTCTCCTGATCCCTGTCCGCTCCTGTCGACCCCAGGCTACCACTGTCTAGCTCTCCCAAGTCCAGAAAGCACAGGATGACCAGTTAGAGAAGCTGACCCCACGGGCCCCCGAGGTCCCCACAGGCCCACCTGCAGCTCCGTCAGGGCAGCGTCAGCGAGGCCCTGCCCTGGGGTTCCCCGGGGCCTCGGACGATGACGGGGTTGCTCCAGGGACAGGAGCTGTGCTGCCAGGACCCCTTTGCCTGCCTTGGGACTCCCCTTAGGAACTCCCTGGGGGATCACAGTTCCTCTGGAAGACCCAGAACTCTCCAGAAGCAACCATGCTGAGCTCTCTGAGCTGTCCTGGAGTCCAGGCACTGCACGAGGGTCAGACAGGGGCACCCTCCCCTGGTCAGAGGCAGAGGCTGCACAGAGCAACCACGCACCTCGCCGCCAGAGGGCGCTGAACAGCGAGGCGGCTGGACCCAGGGGCAGGGAAGCTGCGGCCAGGAGGCCAGGAGTCACCCACACTCAGCATTGATTCTGCCCTCTCCCAGCTCGCCTTCCTTGCCTTCCTGTCTGTACACGCCGGGTGGGGATCTGGTGGGTCATACGGAGCTGGGTGCTGTGAGAAACGGGGCACTCGGAGCGGATGGGGGCCTCCTGGAAGGCATGGCTTGGAAGGTTGCTTGCAGTTGAATGGGAATAACTTGGTTATAGGAACGCTATGACACACATGAGTTAACATGAGTTAATATGTCTATAATAAAGGGAGCTTATTTCAGGTTAATATCGCAAACACACTGCATTTGGTTCTGTATGTTTCGCTAATGATGGGCCTCAAATTGGGCTCTGAGCTTCCAGTAGCCAGTTCAAAAGTAAAAGTAATCAGTTCGCCTGACTCACAATGGCCACAGGTACAAGTTAGCTTCTTAGTCCTGTTTTTGGTGGGATGGAGGAGCTGGCAGGAACCAGCGCCCCCTTGAGGAGAAACACAGGAACAGAAGAAATCCACAGATGGTCTCTGAGGGCACCTAATCCTCCCTGAAGTCGGAGAGCAGAGGGGCAGACAGGAGACAGACCCTCTGCGGCCACTTTAGCTGCTTGTGGGTTTGGGCAAGGGGTGGACTACGGGCTCTGCACAGGCTGTGTCCCAGGAGACAGGCCCGAGCTCCCAGAGACGCCCTCTGGAGGCAGCCTCTCTCACTCAGCACAGTTGCTGGGTGTGGAGACAGCAACTTAAACACTTAGGGAGGCTGCGCTGAGTTCTGACCAAGCAAGATCCGAGTTCAGGACCCACCAGGGGGGAGCTGCAGACAACACCGGCCATTCTAACTGCCGGCCGGTCGACCATGGGCTCACATCTTCCTGAGAAAGATCCTTAAAGAGAGGCACCCCCGCTTCCCGAGCCAATGGCTGCCGCAGGCCAGGCATCTCGGGGCTATAAACAAGAGGAATGTGCTCACAGGTGTCCAAATACAACTAAGTCTCTTGCTCCTGGCATTTTAAGGGGGAAATCCAGATCCATCCCCGTAAGAGAAATTAGGGGTCCATTTTATCTAATTATGAAACACAATCAACAGCGAAGATATATGCTGTTGCTGTCAGCATTAGTAGTTCCTAGCAAAGCTCTGTCACTGCTGAGCAAATTCCTCAATAGGGAAGCTGTAATGAAGTCTTAAGGATTGGCCTAACCCCTAAGAGCAAACAATTAAAATCACAGCTTTCTCATGGTGTCCTTACCCTGCCCCAAAGCCAGGCTCCTGTGCCAGGACGGACCTTTGCTTAAGTTTGTTTGTGCTTAGGACACAACGCACCTGTTAGACCTCAAGTCCTGACTCCAGGGGGGGGAGGGGGGGAGGGAGAGGGCCTGCAGGACTCCAGGTCCCCTCTAGCTAGCCCCTCTGGGGTCAGGATCCCCACCCTTTACTGTAAAGAGGTGATAGCCCCAGAGGACCCTCTCGGCATCCTATCCTCTCGGGAGGCCATGTCCCACGTGGATGGCGTGGATCCTTTTTTACAGAGAAGCGTGGAGCTCCTGGACTTCCTTTTGCCTCTCCCACCCCCTCCCTTTACTGATGGAGCACGCAGCAGGGGGCGAGAGGCAGGTCATGAGCTAGCCATGGTCACCACAGCTCAGGGACAGTGGCCGCTCATGAACTCTGGGAAGCAGGAGGAAGCCACAGGCTTTTAAACAGCTCACCCTCCTACTTAATGCCCCCCCCAAACCTCACTGTTTGTAAAGTCAAATGTTTACTTCACTGTATATGTGTCCAAACCACCAAAAAGTCCTGGGTGGTGGTCCTGGCTGTGTGGCTCAGTGGGTTGGTCATGATTCCAGCCACCAAAGGTCATCAGTTCAATTCCCTGTCAGGGCACATAACCAGGTGTGGGCTCCATCCCTAGCTGGGGTGCATGTGGGAGGCAGTTCATCGATGTTTCTCTCTCACATGGATGTTTCTCTCTCTCCCTCTCCCTTCCTTCTCTCTAAAATCAATTTTTAAAAACACATTTAAAAAAACATGCTGGGAGGCCAATCTTGCCACATCCACGCTTCTCTGAGGCCTGCTGGTCAGACCAAGAGCTAAGTCATCAGTCAGACTATTCTCCCCCGAAAAGACCCCTGTCAGGGGCACACTCGGCCGGCACAGGCGCCGGCACAGGCCCCGCCCCCTGGCAGTTAGGACAGCCAGAGTCAGGGTTGGGGGGACCCGCCCTCCCCCCACATACACACACCCCCCAAAGGTCCCCCGAGTCTCCTCATGGCCACTTAGGAGGTCTTTTGCTTTCCTCCTCCATCAGCTGCTTGGCAGGCGATTGTTTCACGCTGTCCGGGGGTTCCAATGCCTCCTCTTCCGTAAGCAACAATCCACCGCCCTGGCCGCTGGCGGGGAGTCATCCCCTACATGAAAGGTGGGGGTTTGATTCCCAGTCAGGGTGCATACCACATTTTAGGCTCAATCCCCCAGGAGGGGCACATGCAGGAGGCAACCTATCCATGCTTCTCTCTCTCTCTCTCTCTCCCACTCTCTCTCTCACACTACTTCTCTCCCTCCCCTTCCTCTCTAAAAAAAATCACAAATCCAAAAGTGATAAATCCCAACCCTCAATATTTGCATATGACTTTCCAAAACCCCATTGTCTCACCTGGTTTCCCGTGAAGTGCAGAGCAGCTTACTCTGCCCGTTTTATAGGTGAGCATAGTGAGGCCCAGAGATTCACCCAAAGTCACAAAGCTGACTAGAACCGAGCTGGAACTAGAACCGAGACCTCCTGACTTCCAGGCCGTGGGGAGGTCACAGGCCTGTGTCTTCACGTCGCCGTCACCACACCCTCCCCACCGTGTAGCGTGCGCCTCAGGGACAAGAAGAACCAAGTTGGCAGCAATGTGGGCAGAGGACTCGGGAGGCCTGTGTACGTCTCAGAGCAGCTGACACGTGTAGTCAAAGACACCTGCGTCCCACTCCAGGACAAGGTCAACAAACGCTGCTGCCTCTCCACTGCCGAGAACCACCAGCACGAGAGAGAGAAAACAAGCCCACTCGCAGTGTCAGAAATAGTTAAAGGGCTGCAGAAAGACTTAACCACGGAGGGAAAAGACCCGTATGTTAAAACCACACACAGACCTAACCGAGGAGGGCAAAGACCTGTGTGTTAGTAACTACACGCGGGGATGAAAGACACTGAAGAGGACACAGAGAAATGGAGAGATATCCTGTGCTCATGGAGTGGGGAAACCAATGCTGTTTAAGTATTTGTGCTACCCAAAGCCATCTACAGATTTACTGCAGCGATCATTACAGTAGCAGCGAGAAGGAAGCAACCGGATGCCCGCCAATATCTGACTGGACTGAAAAGCTGTGGTACATTTACACGGGGGAATGCCACAAGACCGTGGAAAGGAGGAAATTAACCATCTGTGACAGCATGGATGGACCGAGTGGGTATTATGCTAAATGAAAGAAGTCAGAGAAAGACAAATACCATATGATTTCTCTTAAACGTGCAATCTAAAAAAACATCATCACAAAACACTCAGATCAAAGAGACGGAGAACCGGTGGTCAGTGGCCAGAGGTGGAGGGTGTGAGGGATGGCTGAAGGGGTATAAATTTATTGAAATTTTTAAAAATAAAACAAAGAATCTAATTTTAAAAAACAAAGGGACCTGCATCCTGGGAGGGAGAACGTGGCATGGCATTTTGTTACCACAGGGGAAGACAGCATTGACCACACTCGAGTCACCCGCTGCGGACCCAAAACCAGGCGCTCCTGCTTCCGGTGCCACGCCACGGGCCTTCGCCTGGTGCCCCGCGTGACAGCCCTCACTTCCTGCTGGTGCCTCTGGGACGTGTTCCAACTCCATCGCTCTCCTGTCCTTTGCTCACTGACCTCGCCAGGCCCCTCTCCCTCTCTCTCACCCTCCACCTCAGCACGATGGCACTGGAGCCCGTGCTGGGATCTCAGGAGGCAGAGCACAGAGGTCAGGAAGGTGCTGGCTGGTGGCGGTGAGGCCCAGCTCTGCCCCTCGCCCCCGAGCGAGCTGCCTTGTGGACCGGAGCGAGCTGCCTCGTGCATGGGGCCCGAGTCCTCCTTGGGGTGTGGGGTCATGCCGTCCTGCCTGAGGGGGTGGGAGGACGCAGGTGCTGGTGGCTGGGCAAGGTGTTCAGGGCTCAGGGCCTGCCCATCGGCCCTCTCCTGGAGTGGGTGTCCTTGCTTTTCTATTGGGCACAGTCCAGGGGCCAACAGGGCAGGTGCAGTTCCATGGTTCCTGGGAGCCATCCTTTCCCGGGCAGGACGGACACGGAGCACCTCCGAGCAGACAAGCCAGCAGCACACACGCGAGAGCCAACTGCACGTCTCGCATCACCCGTGGAGAGGAGTCAACCAGGGGGCCTCCGCCCAGGGCTCTGTGAGGCCATGGAAAGTCTGCACACACGGGTGCACACACACGCGCACACACACTGTGGACATACAAATGCACACGTGTACCCACACACGTGCGCACACAAATACACATGCATTCGCTCACAAAACATGCACACACGTGCACACACAATACACACAGCACACACAGCACGCACAGACACTCCGTGTTCCTATACCGATCGCTCGTTAGGCACGTGAAGCGCGGCCGGCTGTGCTCCTGCTCCTGCCGCCGCTGAGCCTCCGGCCGGGGGCTGCTCCTGGTTTCTGCGGAAGCCTCCTGCCCGCGTCTCATGGGTGTGCCCCGTGGCCAGCACCGGCTCTCACCCGGCTTCTCCTGGCGGCCAGAGCAGGGACAAACACAATGACAGCAGCAGGCTTGTGTGTGGGCAGCAGCCACCCCTCCCCCACGGTGGGAGCGGGACAGGAGAGAGGGCGTCCGGCTCAGGCCGGGCCACAGGCCCCGCGGCACAGCAGGCCGCTCAGCGCGTCCTGAGCGGGAGGTGCGTCCGTGGCCCTCCCGGCGGCTCAAGCCCGTCCGGAGGAAGTGGGGTTTCCGGAGGAAAAGGGGTGAGCGCGCTCACAAGTGACTGTGCTGTTAAGTGAGGGAACAACATAGACATGGGCTCTGGAGGGGGAGGGGGGGAGGGGGGGGAGGGGCCGGGAGAGGAGAGGGGCCGGAGAGGGGGCACAGGGCAAGTGGTGATGGGCAGACAGTGTGTGGTGGCATTGTGCACCTGAAACCGGATGATTGTTTAGCCAGTGTCACCCAATACATTCAGTAAAAAGTCAAGAAAACGAAAATGCTCTCAGGTCCTAGTGCGGAAGTGCGGACGGAGCAGAGCCTCACGCTGCGCAGCCGCGAACAGGCAAAGGGTCTGGGAAACCCACGGCCGAGTGCAAGATGGCCCCGTGACACGAGCCCGGACAGTCCCTCTGAGGCCGCGCCCAGGAGCATGAGCGCCCTCACCCGCGACAGCTGCACGGCTCGGGCGGGAGCTCCCCCGTAACGGCCGCACCCGAAGGCCCTGTTCCACACGGGGCCTGGACACACAACACTCAACACGACAGTCCCCTGCACACACGGCAGCACCGAAGGGAGAGCCGGGTGCACGCGTGCCCCGTGCCCTGAAGGCCTGACGGGCGCGCACAGCCAGCAGACTCACCGTGAGGAGGCGCGGGCTGGGGCGCGGGCATGTGGCCACTTGCCGACCTGGGGCTGAGGCCCAGGCATGGGCCGGGGCATGGGAGCACCTGCGTGTTTGCTCTCCCAGGTTTGCATCGGCGGCCGGTGCACACGCAGCCTCGATCCTTCACACCCTGAATGGTGTCCGTGCCCTGGCCCTCCCATCCCGGGCCCAGGCCCACGACAGGCTGGCCGAGGCGGTGTCACACTCCCGCGTCTGCTCTGGCCGCCAAGCCATGTCCGCGGCAATGCACCCACACCAGCTGGGGCACAGCAGCATCCGGTCCTCGGAGCCAGGCCACGGAGACGGGCAGTGCCAGCCCGCCCCAGGTTCGTGGGGGACCAAGAGGAACTCAGAGAACGGTCCATCCAGGCCCGACTGTCACCCCGGCCCAGGTGGCCAGGCGCATCACCGTGGTAACAGTCGCCGTGAGGTTAAAATACATGCAGGGGAAACATGGGGCTGATCGCCTCCTCCTGAGACGATTCTCACTGAGCCGCCACACATGCAGGAAGCAGGGCCCGCCGCAGACCCACCGGAAAACCGCAGCCTGAGCCGCCATGGCTCCCGCTCTGCTGGAGCGTGCCCGTGGCTGCCGCCTCTCCCGACTCTGATAGGTCTCCCCGCGCTTCTCCCCAGTGGGAGTGGGCTCCCCTCTGCTCCTGCTGTGGCCCCCCACCCCCCATCCCGCCGGCCTGTCAGGCCCAGCTGAGCGACGCCGTTACCTGGGTTGACCTGAGCTCTTGCAGAACTCAAGATGGGCAGCAGCAGGAGCAGCGCGGAGGGCATTCTGGGGGGCGGGGCCATCTCAGAGGCAGCGAGGGACCTGCAGCAACCCACGGCGGGCACGGGAGAGAGAAGGAGAGCCGTGAGTGAGCGTGCCCACACGAGGGCACATGGGCCCGAGCCTCATGCTTCCACAGCGTTGGTTTCTGTACTGAGAGCTTCAAACCGTAGGCCCTGAGAGTAGAACATGCGATAGTCACACAATGAGACTCTCACACTGTTAGTTCGCACGCTCCTGGGATGGGGACGCTCATACAGTACTAGAGGCAGCAAACAGAGCTGCCCTAAGGTTAATACTTACCCAAGTGGTGAGTGATGAAACAGTAAAACTTACACTTAGAATATTTTCATAATTCTGATACTAATACCGACATTAAACAAAAATATTCCGTGATGTTCATTGTCTGCCTTTGAAACAGTGTGAGGCCAGCCCTGCCCGGCCTCAGCAGCCGGGCCGGGCCGGGGCCTGGGACGTGCAGTCCCCCCAGAACAACCAACGGGAGGGTCGGAGCGGAGACCGCGTCCGCCTTAATGAAATATTTGTGGACGTGGACGCACGCGGGTGGTACGCACACGGATGTGCCTGTGCTTTGTCAGCGGACAGGGTGAGGAGAACGGCACCCCAAGAGCAATGAGCACACTCCCCGAGCAGACCTGTGCCGAACACCATTGCTGCTCTGGGCCAGGGCAGGAGACAGACAAGACGCGCCTGGGACTTCTGGTGTCGGAAGCTGAGGGAGCGACACTCACAAAACGAGGGGGTGTCAGAGGGACCAGAAACCAAGGAGAGATTCCCGACGGCTGAGGAGGGCACCCTATGCTCTCCAGGACGCTGCTGTCCCCGCGGCACCTGGCAGCCACCCGCAGCCACCCGGGACCGGCAGCAGCAGCGAGCGGAGTCAGTCTCTGTGACTGGCTCCTGCCACAAGGTGCCGAGGCCCCCGGGGCCGTGCAGACGGCCCTTTTTAAAGGCTGGACAGCGTTCAGCTGCGCGGACATACACACGGCCCTCACCCGTCATCGCCGGGACAGGCCGTCCACCGCGTGGCTCTGAGTAGCTCTGCGGGGCGTGCGTGAGCAGCTGCCCTCAGGCCCTCGTTGCTGTCATTTTGGACAAATGCCCAGCAGAGGATGGCTGGGTGACCCCGGTGGCTTTGTTTTATTTATTTGTTAGGATCTTCCTGCTGTTTCCATCGAGACCGTGGCCCAGAGATCTTCAAGAAAGGAGCCAGGGGCGCGAGGACAGGCCCGGCTGGGCCACGGGTGCTAGAAAGCCACGCCCTGCTCCACGCGGAAGCGACTCAGAACGGAAGCCGGACGCTGTAAGACCGTTAGAAGGAAGCAGGGACCAGCTCGTGGCGGGGGTCTGTCTTGGCACTGACTTGATAGATATCACAGCAAACGTACAGGCAACAAAACCAACAAACCAAAAGCTCCTGCCGCAAAGGAGCCACCAGCAGACAGAAAAGCAGCCTCTGAGATGGGAGCAAACCTCGGGAACTGAACGTCTGCAAGAGAGGACTTCCCAGAGCGTGTGGAAGCGTCCCCAACCAAGCCCGAAAGTACGAGCAAACGACAGGCTCAGGAGCTAGACATTTCTCCAGGGAAGACACCGGAGTGGCCAGCAGGTGCTTCTGGATGTTCAGCATCGCTAACCGTCAGGAAATGCAAGTCCAAAGCACAAGAGACCACCTCAGACCTGGCTGGACGGCCATTGTTCAAAAATATACAAATAGCCGAAACCGGTTTGGCTCACTGGATAGAGCGTTGGCCTGTGGATTGAAGGGTCCCAGGTTCGATTCCAGTCAAGGGCATGTACCTTGGTTGCGGGCACATCCCCAGTAGGGGGCCTGCAGGAGGCAACTGATCGATGTTTCTCTCTCATCAATGTTTCTAACTCTATCCCTCTCCCTTCCTCTCTGTAAAAAATCAATAAAATTATTTTTTAAATATATATACAAATAAGAGACGGCACATATAGGTGAGTGTGGAGGGGGGCTCCTGAGCTCCTGAGGCTGCTGGTGCAATGTTTTGTAAATGACGAAACTTGGGGAGATCTCTCTTGTGAGCTCCCGCCCTGGGACACAGTTGGGGCGGGGGGGGGGGGGTGGAGGGGGACAGGAGGTCGGTGCTCTGGGCACCTGGGGAACCTGGCAGCTGTCTGTCTCCAAAGAGGTGGTGTCTGTGGTCATGGCGGCAGTGAGCGCGGGTACAGAGCGAGCGGGTGGCTGAGGACGTGGGGAGAAGGATCACAGGAGGGTGAAGCGGCAGGTGGGGGTTATAGCTGGCAGCAGAGGCTGATGGCTGGCACGGGGTGTGCAGACGGAGAGATGATAGACAGCGTGGGGTGTTTGCACAGAGAGGTGATGGACAGCGCGGGGTGTTCAGATGAAGAGATGATGGACAGCGCGGGGTGTTTGCACAGAGAGGTGATGGACAGTGCGGGGTGTTTGGACAGAGAGGTGATGGACAGCGCAGGGTGTTCAGACGGAGAGATGATGGACAGCGCGGGGTGTTTGGACAGAGAGGTGATGGACAGAGCAGAGTGTTTGGACAGAGAGGTGATGGACAGTGCGGGGTGTTTGGACAGAGAGGTGATGGATAGTGCGGGGTGTTTGGACAGAGAGGTGATGGACAGCGCGGGGTGTGCAGACGGAGAGATGATGGACAGCGCGGGGTGTTTGGACAGAGAGGTGATGGACAGAGCAGAGTGTTTGGACAGAGAGGTGATGGACAGTGCGGGGTGTTTGGACAGAGAGGTGACGGACAGTGTAGGGTGTTTGGACAGAGAGTTGATGAACAGCGCGGCGTGTTTGGACAGAGGTGATGGACAGTGTGGGGTGTTTGGACAGAGAGGTGACGGAGAGTGTGGGGTGTTTGGACAGAGAGGTGATGAACAGCGTGGGGTGTTTGGACAGAGGTGATGGACAGTACGGGGTGTTTGGACAGAGAGGTGATGGACAGAGCAGAGTGTTTGGACAGAGAGGTGATGGACAGTGTGGGGTGTTTGGACAGAGAGGTGATGGACAGCGCGGGGTGTTTGGACAGAGGTGATGGACAGTGCTGGGTGTTTGGACAGAGAGGTGATGGACAGTGCGGGGTGTTTGGACAGAGAGGTGATGGACAGCGCGGGGTGTTTGGACAGAGATGATGGACAGCGTGGGGTGTTTGGACAGAGAGGTGACGGACAGTGTGGGGTGTTTGGACAGAGAGGTGATGGACAGTGTGGGGTGTTTGGACAGAGAGGTGACGGACAGTGCGGGGTGTTTGGACAGAGAGGTGATGAACAGCGCGGGGTGTTTGGACAGAGGTGATGGACAGTGTGGGGTGTTTGGACAGAGGTGATGGACAGTGCTGGGTGTTTGGACAGAGAAGTGATGGACAGTGCGGGGTGTTTGGACAGAGAGGTGACGGACAGTGCGGGGTGTTTGGACAGAGAGGTGATGGACAGCGCCGGGTGTTTGGACAGAGGTGATGGACAGTGTGGGGTGTGTGGACAGAGAGGTGATGGACAGCGCGGGGTGTTTGGACAGAGGTGACGGACAGTGCGGGGTGTTTGGACAGAGAGGTGACGGACAGTGCGGGGTGTTTGGACAGAGAGGTGATGAACAGCGCGGGGTGTTTGGACAGAGGTGATGGACAGTGTGGGGTGTTTGGACAGAGAGGTGATGGACAGCGCGGGGTGTTTGGACAGAGGTGATGGACAGTGCTGGGTGTTTGGACAGAGAGGTGATGGACGGTGCAGGGTGTTTGGACAGAGAGGTGATGGACAGTGTGGGATGTTTGGACAGAGAGGTGATGGACAGTGCGGGGTGTTTGGACAGAGAGGTGATGGACGGCGCGGGGTGTTTGGACAGAGAGGTGACGGACAGTGCGGGGTGTTTGGACAGAGAGGTGACGGACAGTGCGGGCTGTTTGGACAGAGAGGTGACGGACAGTGCGGGCTGTTTGGACAGAGAGGTGACGGACAGTGCGGGCTGTTTGAACAGAGAGGTGACGGACAGTGCGGGGTGTTTGGACAGAGAGGTGACGGACAGTGCGGGGTGTTTGGACAGAGAGGTGACGGACAGTGCGGGCTGTTTGGACAGAGAGGTGACGGACAGTGCGGGGTGTTTGGACAGAGAGGTGATGGACGGCGCGGGGTGTTTGGACAGAGAGGTGACGGACAGTGCGGGGTGTTTGGACAGAGGTGATGGACAGTGCAGGGTGTTTGGACAGAGGTGATGGACAGTGTGGGATGTTTGGACAGAGAGGTGACAGTGCGGGGTGTTTGGACAGAGAGGTGATGGACGGTGCGGGCTGTTTGGACAGAGAGGTGATGGACAGTGTGGGATGTTTGGACAGAGAGGTGACAGACAGTGCGGGGTGTTTGGACAGAGAGGTGATGGACGGTGCGGGCTGTTTGGACAGAGAGAAGACGGAGGCTGGTGGGGATGGAGGCAGAGGTTTAGATGCACAGGGAAGGCGTCCGAGGCGTAGCTGTGAGTAACCTCACATATTTGCAGAAGCAGCTCGGGGTCTCTCGGACTTAGCATGAGGAGCAGATCCTGGGGCCTTTTGTCCTAACAGAGGGGCGCCCCCGGCCTCGGGGCCTCACACCTGAGCAATGCCCTGGGCACGGCGCTCTCTCTCCCGAAGTCCAAGTATGAACAACCGTCTTTTCCTCTGAAGCCGAACTAGGAAACAGCCAAACCCTCTTCCCGCTGCCCCCTCCCCCCGCCTGCCCTCAGTCCTCAGGGGACAGCTTCCACACAGCACACATCACATCGCACCCAGAGTGCACACGTGCTCCGTCTGCTCACCCCCATCAGGGAGTTCCCCCCCCCCCCCCAACGGACAATTCTCCCCATTCCCCAAGGACCAGGGCGGTGCCTTCCAACAGCAAAACCTCCAGGCAGGAACAGGCCTCAGCCAGGTTACCCCCCAGAGCAGGCACCGCACGGCACAGCTGGTCTCCCCGGATCTGAACACCAGTCCCAACCCCCGCGGCGGGGCCAGAGAGGAAGGGCCGGCCCTCCAGG